AAAACATTCATTGGAATTAAAGTATCGGGGATTTGTGACATTTAACATTTGTTTTGTTGTCATTGACATGTTCAGATTCTGAAAGAGTACGTGGCAAGTAGATAAAATATTATCACTCAAGCAATCATGACCAAAATAGCATGTACCACTGTACTTCTGTTGGTGAACTTCAATCAGGTTTCCTGCGAACACAAGCAAATCTACCGTTTTGAGATGATTCAACATTTAAAGGTCATAACAGGATCTTCAGCTAATGGCTAGCATGGCAGTGACTCCATATGCCTAAAAACAGAAGACAGATGAGGAAATGAGGGCTCTCCTGAAATCAGTCAAAGCTTTTACCTTGTTGAGGCTGTGAGGCTCACTGTCTGACAGGGTGTTGTGTCTCCCAAGAGTCCTTCGTAAAGAGTTTCGTCGAGCGAGGTTTGAGAACCCTCTAGTGATTTCATTGAAACTCAGGGTCCTCTGACATAAAATTCACACAAAGATATTTCCATATATTACAACCTCACAAAATAAAATCTTTACTGTACAATAAAATACATTCATGGTATGAATGGAATATATTCACGGAAAAATCAATGTAATAGAAACAATTAAATCCTTGTATGAGGATATAACATCTATGTAAACATGTATCATGTATATAGAACATCTAGTTACTGGGGTGCCTCAGGGCTCAGTGCTTAGACCACTTCTTTTCTCCACGTCATCACTAGGATCTGACAGACACACACACACATACATGCAAACATACATACACATACATAGATTTTTATGAAAAAGTAAATTGATTACTACTCAGACCAAGTAAACAATTAAACATTCATTCAAATGTTTTAATTTGGCCCAAATCCAAACTCGGAAAAAACTACAAATATAGTTGTGAGAAGCAAAAAAGAAGAAAAAAATGAGCATTGATTATGTATAACTGTACCCTGAACATAAAAAAAAATCCAATATTATAGTATCATGACCAGATGTTTCCACCCTACCAGTTGTATATCACAGATAAGAAGTGAAGAGGAAATTTAGTACCTTTTCCCTTGACTGGACAGATGCTTTCTGTTGGTGGTGAGACAGAGAGATCTCCATGATGAAGCTGGCTGTGTGCTGGAGACCAGTGAGCTTACACAAAACCTGAGCTAGAACTTCTTGGTCTGCAGAAAGAACGTGTCACTGCGCAAACACCATAAAACACAACGCCGCTGGGTATAAAAGTCACTCAGAAGGAAAACACACTGACGTACATTCAGGCAACAATCATCCAGAGAAACCTGAGGATCAATGACCATCTAGACAGAAATGAAAAGTGTTAGTGTTAGTCTCACCCATTTGCATTTGTTTATCTGCAGCACACCTTTCACAGGTGACTTGTTGAAATTATATCACTACCCTCGTGTCTTTTTTCCTGTGGAATACAAAGACATTCATCAAAATGTACATTCAATGGCAATCATTTAATGTCAAGTTCATTTGGTTTATTTGTCATATTTTTCAAAAAAAGGTCCCTCTTTATGTACAGTATGTCCTAAATGGAGAATGTGATTTGTGGGGAGCTTTATGAAGAAGTTTTTCTTCACAAACATGTCCAGTCAATCGCCCAAACTGCCCAAAGCTAGTCCTGACTGAAAAAACCATCCAGAACCAGTTATGTTTTGCGTCACCAAAGCTCCTTCTGTTCTGCAATGGTCGACACCTGTTCCTCTCAATTCATCAGTGCAGCAGTCCGTGTGGCCATAAGCCCGTTCACCATCTCGCTCTCCCTCGCTCTTACAGCTGGAGGGATGAGCTCAGCCAGCAACAAAGGCATTTGTGTTCCTGTGCGTCTGAGGGAAAAAGCAAATGTAGTAATTAATGACCCTTAGCAAAAATGAAAGAAAGTGCTTATCTTGATCTTCACAGATATGGTTGTCACATCTCCTCAAAAGAAATGTTGAATAATGAGTATAAGGGTGTTGTTTTAGAATTAGAGTGAGGCCCTTAAATAGGATATAGTCACATGAGAAAACTGCTTAATATTTTAAATTAGTGGAGCTTGCAGAAATGTTTATATGAAGAATAACCATAGAGAAACATAGTCTAGTCTAGTTAATTTTATGAGAAGTTTTGTTTGGTATCTTGTCACAAGAGTTTTCAAACTTTTTGATTCCACATAACCCCAAATATTATGATTGTGAATGACTATCATGATTATATAATTATTTAATGACTGCAAAAATAAAGCCTGCTATATGCTACTCTCAATGCTGTGCTGGATCAGCGCTTTGGGAAAACTTCTTTGTTTTACCGGTTGTGAACACGTGTGTCACAGCAGTGGTGGAGGAAGTACTGAATCTCAGTACTTAAGTAAAAGTACAAATAACCAGAAAAATATTTACTTTAGTAAAAGTAGAAGTAACACAATGACAACCATACTTAAGTAAAAAAGTAAAAAGTACCTGATTTTAAATGTACTTGAAGTATTAAAAGTAAAAGTACTTGCATAACAATTTATTCTCTTAATGACCCTTTTTAATTCTAAGTCATTCAACCTAATACTCCTATAATGATGTTCAATAATGATGGAAAAAAATTGTTGTCACCATTTCTGAAACAAGCTTGCAATTAGGCAATATAAACCATGCTTATCCTTACTATATGTTAATAACTACTGTATGTTTGGCAGTAAACGCGATTCATTTATGGTGTAATTCTGAACCTCTTGGCTTGCCATAATCCTAACCAAACGTATATTACACACGATGCGTTTCCTATGCACGACGTAAAAAAAAATTTTCGCACATAAATTGCACATTAAACACACTGCTTGCGAGACGCATTTAGTGTGACCGGGTTGATACATCTATGGCAACCAAACGTCACTGGTGAGACAAACGTGCAATGAACGGATGGTCAGATTACGTTTTGGCAGGGGAAAAACTGATCAGAAAATGTAACAGAAGTTGTAGAAATCTAGTGGAGTAGAAAGTACAATAATTGCTGCAAAATGTAACGAAGTAAAAGTAAAAAGTAGGCACTATTTATTCTACTTAAGTAAAGTAAAGATACGTAAAAAATTTACTTAAGTAAAGTAACGAAGTATTTGTACTTCGTTACATTCCACCACTGTGTCACAGTCAGCAGCTCAGTTTTGGCTGTCTTAACACAACAAACTGGTTCGCGTGCAGGCACCGGCTTCGAACCGAAAAGGGGCTTTTCTGAGCCTGCACTAGTGGTGTTTCACTCCAAGATATTTGCAGAGCGGCAGGCTGGGCCTCTCCATCTACATTTATTAGGTTTTACAACCTGGAGGCCTTACAGGCTAAACTACTTTCAGTTTAGACCATTGTGTTGTCTGATGAACTGATTAAGTTGTTTCTATACAGCTCAGCCTGACTTTCGTCCACGCTGACTGCAATATTGTGTTAAGCACTCATCTTATGCAATATGAGGTGTTACACTCCCTTATATGGCCACATTGGACTGTTGAGCCAGTTCTCCAGCCCGACTGTCTTCACTATTATGTGTTCCCCGGGCACTTGCCCTTGGGACTATACGTGGATGACTTCAGCACTCAAAGCATTTTACATTGGGTTCCCAAACTATGTTGCAGGCATACCAGGCTAACTTGCTTAAAGAACTGGGCAAGCTCAGCCAAACCATAGATCTGACTTTACCCGTGACTAAGCAAACGGCCCATGCCATCATTATTCGGTGAGTCAAATACTGTCGTCCAAGGGATTAAAGGCACGAGGAAGCTTTAGACAAATACCTCCCACTGCTAAGGTTTGGGGCAGTCGCCACCCAGCTTGTCGCAAAACGCTCCACCAAAAAAGTAGCTGGACCTGAAAAGAAAAAGACATCCTGAGGCTTTTGCACCCAGGACCAAGAGGGCGTGCCCACTGGGAAGAGGTGTGTAAAAACACAACATCAACATTTCTAATATAAATTAAATGTTAAATGTTCAGTTGAATATAATCTCTATGCTCTCCAGGAAAATGATATATTATATATACTGATTTATGGTTTTTGTTCTTTCCTAAGGGATCAATTAAATATTAAAGGAGTCTACACATATGTGACTAGTAGACTAATGTAATCATGCAGAGTCAAAGTAATGCAATTATTGCTAATGATGTCGTAATTAACATGCAAGACAGTTTTGGGAATGACACAGACACTATCATCATAGAATGAGTAATATCTCTCAAAGTTTTGATGGAGTTTGTTGGTCATTTAGCAATTGGTTCCTAATCCCCCAGCATATTATGGAATCCCTACAGGAGCAAACAGCCATCAATGGAGTGCAGTACGTCTGCAGAGCAATGATAAAGACCCTCGGGATGCACCAGGAAACTCACCATTGTGAGTCTGGATTCCGACTCCACCGCGGATAGAGATGCCCCCAACTGCTTTCATTAACAGGGAGAAAGGAACATTGTGGCTCTTCTGTGTAATACAAAGGGAGGGAAGGGCTGTTTTTAAGCCCCAGAAAGTGTTCCTTCGAGGGAATGATGAAGTCTTGATGTTGACATCTATTATAAGCCACTGCTACTGAAACAGATCTGAAGCCAGCTCATAAGGAGGTCTTATGCAGGAAGCTAAAGTAGCTTTAAAAATTCAATATGAAGTGGAATCTTGCACATAAAGACTGCAGGAGAACAAAATATGCAGGGAGATAATAGTTTTTGACAGAGGAAATATAGTGGAAATGTTTGTTGGTTTACTTCATTATTTGACAGCGCTAACCGGAACTAAAGACGCAAAAATGGGGGACAACGGGAGGGGACAACCTACTGAAGACAAAAAGGGAGGAAAGAGAGTCTCAGAAGCCTATCCTAAAGCAGGTGGTGGTTAAGGATAATCCAGGTAAGTCTTTAATGCTAGAGATGTGCTGGAGGAGGCGAGTGGAGGGGTGGCAGGCAGAGAGATTGCTAATTGTGTCCTACTAATCCAACCCCTCCCCCATCTGTACCCACCTCCACATCCTCCCCTGTCACATATGAGGAAGGCCAGGAACGTAGAGAAGCAAAGGTTCTGCACACTACGAAGTGAAGAACACGTATTTTGAGGCAAGAGGGCTCAAGAAACAGTGGACAAATAAGAAAACCCAACACTTACCTGGATATATCCCACATAGAATGTAGTTGCGTCTCTTTCGGCATCCTCTTCCTACCACGAAATTCACGGCACCATGGGAGAAGTCCAAAAGGTAAATGTTTCGATCTGCTTGAAGGGCCTATTTGGAAATTCTTTGGAACGAAGTATAATTAATGAATGTTATACACATTTTTGTGATGGCTGTACCTGAAACTTGATTTTAAACTATTAAATCAGATGTTTTAGGCACAAATGTTTGTTTTCAAGGGTTTGTTTTCAGTCATTGAGAAGTTAAAGGGCACTACAGAGCAAGAGCTTCGGATAGTCCTTCTCGGTCTGGATAATGCTGGAAAAACCACTTTGTTAAAACAACTTGCCTCCGAAGATGTGAACACCATCACCCCGACTCAGGTGAGAAGGGCGGCTTTCAAAGCTTACGCTTTCTTAATATGCTAGATCAATACAGTCTAACAACTTTTGACAATTAAGACACAAGTGGTTATGAAAGCAGCGACAGCCCTCTGACATTACAGAATGTATGTTTACTGCTTATCCAACTATTAAAGGATGTGTTATGACTTGCATAACACGACTAATTTGTTGAGGTGTGAAGTCACTAGTGAGGCAGGCAAACACATTCATTGTGCTTTTTTAGTGTTTAACAAATCCAGCAGAAATATTTTCAAAGCCTTTGACAGTTGCTTCAGTTTAAATACAACAGTGAATTGGAAATGTTCATTCTGAAGTCACTCTTTTCCCTAAAACCAGCAGTGTTGGGAGTAACGCATTACAAAAGTAATACATTACAGTAACATATTACTTTTTGCTGTAACGCAGTAGTGTAAGGCATTACTAATCAATTTTCAGTAATATTTTACTCGTTACATGTTTAGTGAGGCTTGTATTACAGTTGTATTACAGTGTATTGTCTGCTTTTACTTCTTAAAGGCAACAGACTATGTGAACGTTTTAAAGCAGTCTTTTAGTGCCAGTTCAGAGCGGTCGCGTCTGTAACATTGTTTTTTCCTCATAAATGCGAACACGAAAACTAAAATAAAATGAATATTTTAAGGTTCTATGGAGACTGGAGAGCCAACCCTTCCTCATCCGATTTGCGCAGTGTAATTAACAGAATTACAAAAAATATATTTTACCTCCTATTTTTTTTGTCACGCATGAATGTGTGTCTTTTCCCTAATATTAACAATAAAACATAGACTGATATTTGTCTAATGTCTGGAGTCCTTTAAGGAAGTAGCCTATATACGTTTCAATACATGTATTTTCTGAGAATTTTTATTTCAAGTTTTGACTGCAAATGTCATGTCCATAATGCTGGACTTCCCCAATTTTAAATAATTTATCCTCAACTAGTTTTGTGTAGGTCTACGTATTTTATAAGGTTAACTTCAAATAATAGTAATAGCCTAATTTTAGATAAGGCAGCATTGGATCTGGACGGTAAGGAGAATAACGCTGGAGTTGGAAGAGGTTTGTCGCGATTCTGTAGGTTCATTGATCTGAGTCGTGTGGTGAATCGCGATTTCGGTTTCATATTGCATATCGTTACAGCCCAAAAGTTAAGTTCTACTTAGTTTTTTTGATGAAAGTAACTCAAAAGTAATACATGAGTAATGTAACGCATTACAATTCTGGGACAGTAATATTGTAAGGTAATGAATTACTTTTAAATAACAGTAACAAGTAATACCTAATGTATTACAGTTTGGAAGTAACTTGCACAACACTGAAAACCAGTGTGTATCTTTAGCTGCATCTTGGATAACACTAGACTGTAAAACTAAAATGGAGGAATCAGGTTAATCAGTGATAAAGAGGGCAGACTGTGTACAAATAGTACTGTGAAAAACCAGTAAGAATATCTTAGACAAATAGTGAGATTTAAAATCACAATTATGATAAATAAAGTCTCATTTTTAGTCTAAGGTGCAAACAGACTTTTATTTCGCAAATATATAAGTTCTTATATACTATTGCTAATATTGTTATTAAAATTAAAATAGCAAATTAGTATTAAAAGGTTAGTTCACACAAAAAGTCTGTCAGTAATTATTCCCCCTCATGTTGTTCCAACCCTGTAAGACTTTTGTTCATCTTCGGCACACAAATTAAAATATTTTTTTGCTGAAATCTGAGAGCTGTCTCACTCTTTCATCATAGGCTGCAAGGTAATGTCATCTGCCGCCCCAGAAACGTTATTAAAGACATCGTTAAAATAGCCCAAGTGACAACAGTGGCTCAACCTTAAGTTTATCAAGCGACTAGAATTTTAACTTGAAGTTTATTCAACTCTGTGTGGGCCTCTGACGTGAGTTCGCGAGAGCATTATGACGCATGCGCGAAAACTGAGTAGATGGCGCAGATGGGTCTCGATGTAGTGTTTAAAATGGATCCAAAGTGTGAACTTCATGGATGTCCGAATCGTGAGGAAACCAACGAGAAAACGGAAAAGTGCCCTACCAATGCTGCAAAATGAATGGCTTACCTTTCACACTTTACCATCAAATGATTGTGAGCATGTTCTCGCGCATGTGTCGTGACGCTCTCTTGAACTAAAGTCAGAGGCCCACACGGAAGAAAATAAATACCGGTAGTGGAATAAAGTCGTTATTTTTGTTGTTGTTTTCGCGATAAATTATAGAATTATTTATTTAATCAATATTTAAATCCCAGGCAAAACACGTAATTTTTATTTATTTATAGTAGTGTAACAAATAATAATAATAATAATAATAACTTATACACTTATGCTTGAAATGGAGTGGGGATAAATAAAACTTATTCGGTAACACTTTACAATACGAGTGCACTAATATGCTTAACTAATGCACAGATAATACTGAATTAATGTGTAACTAATGATTATTTAAGCTATCCATTAATGATTACCACATTAGGAACTAATTAAGAGTATGTAAGGTTAATGTATTAGTTCATACATGTGGATTAATTCCATAATAACTCATTTTTTAACTAATAGTGTAAATTAATATGTTAATTACCAGAATGAGCCAAAGCCTTGTATTTCAACTTCCAGATAATATGACAGGTACACTAATATGCATTAATACATGATTAATTACTTTATTGTTATTGCAAATTCATGTGCAAATTACTACGATTACTAAAAGACTGGTTAATAATGATGTGCCCCAACAAGTAAAGTCATAACATAATGATACCTTTGCAAATCATTAGCTAATGATTAATTAAAGCATACAACTGGAAGTTGAAGTGCATAGATTTGACTAATTGTGGTAATTGACACATTAATTTACACTATTAGTTCATAAAATATGTTATTAAGGAATGAATACACAATGACACATTGAATTAATAACAGTTCATGTATTACTTAATCTATTAATCATATAGACTCTTTATTAGTTGCTGATGCAGTAATCTTTAATTAATGGTTCAGTTCTTCATGAGTTCATGATTATCTGTGCATTAGTTAAGCATGAATTAATGCATATTAGTGCACCCGTATTGTAAAGTGTTACCACTTATAAATATTTGCAATGTATCATTTGTAAAAAACGCATTTTGTCAGAATACATGGCTTCATTTAACACTATCAGTCTGATCTCTTCCATTTAGAAACTATGTACTAATTTAACCTTCAAGAGTTTAACTGATGGCTAAATGTCAGTTGTTTCATTTGTCATAAAAAAAAACTATCTTGCCCTTTGTTCGCCTATATAGATATATGTGGTTTAACAATTATGACTTATATAGTACAACACTGTCGCATGATGAAAGCGACCCACTAGATGTTGAGGTCTACCTACAACCCACAGAGACGAAGAAAAAAGCACCCATACAACTGCTAGGAAACCATTTGAAGGTGGTCACTGTCCTAGAAAGAACTACTATACAAATAAACGATATAAATAGACATGATGGCATCTCAAACTTCCAAGAAAGTTTCAGATAATAGGATCAAATGTGATCAGTCTGGTTTACTGTTGAGGGGTCAGAGATAGAGCAGGCCATGACTGTGTGTATTAGTGCTGGTTATTGGCATGGAATCAGCCACAGAGAATGCATCTGATGTACAAAATGAATTTATCAATTATAAAAAAAATGTACATATATCAAGCCTTGACTGAGAGTTTAGTCAATCAGTGAATTTGTACAGTGGATGCAATTGATGGCTGTTAACACAACATTCAGTATGGAATATTTTGGACTCCGCTGTGCACAGCTTGCTAACAGTTAAGATGTTGGCACACTGTTGCTAGATTACTTAAAATATCCTGGGACCGGAGTAACGTGGGACTATTTGCTGTTTAGCACGAGTTTTCTGAACAGCCATTATATGTTGCAGCCAGTTAAAGCTGTAAAGAGCCGAGGCCTGTGGGGAGAGAAGATCCTCTCTAAGAATAGCACCATAACAGTGTCTTTAATCCCACGGTTAAAGATTACTTAACTATAAAGTCTCAGTAGTTGGAGGCTGCTTAGGGGCAGGGTAAATTTAGACTATTTTGCCTCAATTAAACCAAAGAGTTTATTGAATGAGGCAGAAATTGGCTTCCTTAATGGGGGACTGTCATGACATGAGAAGGTAAATGTTAGATCATTTTGGATTAGTAATAAGTTTTAACTTAGTGACTGCTAAAAAAAAGTATGAATGAGGTTGGTATGAACGATATCTGGACATTCGTTATGTTGTCATTATCATGTGACAGGTACTTTTAGCCTACTCGAGCGTTTTATGAGTACTGTGAATTCGGACATCTTTTGTCGCCTTTGATTTTGGATGCAGACTCTTACTTTAGGAATAATAATAATAAAAAGAAACACAAATGTGATGTTTGTCTTTATCATTTTTGCTTATTGGTGTGGTTGAATTGGATCGTCGGAGGTCAGCAGGAAATGCCGTAGTGAATAAAGTGAGATTAAATACATAAACTATATGTGTAAATTACTTACTTTATTAGTTACTTGAAAATGTAATCTGATTACGTAACTAGTGTTACTTGTAATGTATCATCCTCAAGACTGGTCACTGTTGTGGGATATAGTCACATTTATGCCAATGTGAGATAGTTATGAAGTTTTGATTGTAAAATATAATATCAAAATTATTATTATGTGATATAAAGTATTAGTTGTGAGATTTAAAAATCAGTTGTGAATTTGGAAAATGTAATTTACAATCAGAGATAAAAAGTCACAAGTGTGAGATTTAAAGGGATAGTTCACTTTGAAATTATTTTTTGATATGTTTTAGCTTACCTCAAGGGCATCCAAGATGTAGGTGTCTTAGTTTCCACTGTAGTTTCAATTTTGATATTTTTAGGTCAAACCGTTCTTGTCTGTCAGTCATATAATGGAGGTTTATGAAATCTGAGGTAAAGTGAACTATCCCTTTAAAGTCACATTGGGAGAAATAAAGACGAATAAAGTTACAATTTGACATGTAAAGTCACACTGACTGACATTATAATTCACAGAACATCTACAAAACATGTATCCACAGCTGTCTCATGTGCTAATTTTGCTATTTCAGGGTTTCAACATTAAAAGTGTGACCTGTGATAGCATGAAGCTGAATGTGTGGGACATTGGAGGACAGAGGAAGATTCGACCATTCTGGAAAAAGTACCTGGAGAATACAGATTTATTGGTATGACGACAGTGATGCTCAAGGGGAAAAATTCTCAAGTTAGCATGTTGTGAGAGTATTAATAGTCACATATGTAATTAGATTCTATTTTGTACATCTGTCAAAAAAAAATCTCTTTAATAGTTCTCATTCTTTTCTCCTTTTTTTTTTTAGATCTACGTGATTGACAGTGCAGACAAAAAGAGATTTGAGGAAACAGGACTGGTAAGACTAGACAGAATCAATCTGTGACAATCACAGCTTCTTATTTTTTTCCTGAAAAGGTCAAATATATTTATACATCAAGCATTTTGCCCAAAATTGTGTTTTCTTGTTGTAATGGGCACAGGCTGGATATGTTTTGTCTCGAGGCTCAATTGAAGCAGCCGTCAGCACAAATAAAATAAAAAGAGATCCTATATATATGGGTTAGATGAACTGAAATTAGATTAACCTGTCTGTCCCTCAAGACAATTTTCCAATTTTCAATCTTTCTAGTTTCAAACAAATGTTAATGGCTTTAAACTTTTTATTGTGTATCCTTAATTAGTTCCTTATTTTGAAGAGTGAAGAAATGCCAGTTATTGGAGTGCTGGAGTTGCATTATTTTGGGCTTGACCCCTAACCAGATTTTAACATCTATAAAAAAAATACACCACAAGTGTTACAATCAGGGGAATTTTACGTCGCTCTTGCTCCTGGGAAATTCAAAATATAATTAATTTGGTATTGTGTAAACAACAAGCATTACGGTTATAGTGGAAATGAGAAGTGAAATATGAACACATTTGTATCATGCCAGACAGTCTGAAATGTTTATTTTAAGATAAACTATTAATATTATATTAAATATAGTTTGAAGAATCTGAACTTAACCCTTAAACGCATTCCTCTGGGCTTTAGTGACCCAGGACGTCATTCACTACCCTCCTCCACATTCAACCTTCTAAATATTCCTTGATCAATTCATTATAAACAATATAACCCATCCCATTTCCCATTCATTTTCCCAACCCAGCCGACTGTCCTGCACAGTTCATCTCCAACCCTAATTAACACACCTGCCTTTAATGTTCAAGTGATCCTGAAGACCTTAATTGGTTGCTTCAGGTGTGTTTGATTAGGGTTGGTGCAGGAAGAGTCGATCGGCAGGAGCACGGTCTAAAAGTGTTACCAATGCCATGATCTTTGGTTCAGTCCTTAGGTAGGGTGACCATATTTTGATTACCAAAAACCAGGACACTCGGCCCAGCAAACACATGGGCCAACTCAAATGATACTCGAAGTTTACTCAAAGATACCTTATTAATTTCAATACATTTAAAGTAGGTTATGCCTCCTCTGTATGGATAGAAAATGGTTATATTGTTATATGAAAACAGGACAGTTGGTCACTCAACCTTAGGGGCCACAAAAAATATATAATGTGAATATGCTGTACGTGTAAATCACTCTGGATTAAAGTATATACTAATAATACATGAATCGGGATTGACCATATGCTGACCTCTGTTTGGTGCAGACTCCTCTCGACGACTCTGTGTTGACCTTTTTCCACAGGAGCTGTCGGAGCTCACTGATGAGGACAACCTGAAGGGTGTGCCATTGCTCATCTTTGCCAATAAACAGGACCTGGCCACGGCTTCCCCTGCCAGTGAGATCGCAGAGGGCCTCAACCTGCACACATACCGGGACAGAGAGTGGCAGATCCAGGCCTGTTCTGCCGTATCTGGGGAAGGTGTACAGGTTTGTATAGGGAATTTTAATGTGTATCAGCTTTTTAATAAAACCTTTGAAACATTTATATATTATGATACCCATGATTAGACATTAATTCATTATTTTGTCTATCAGGATGGCATGAACTGGATCAGCAACAATATTGTAAATAAGAAGAAATGAACCTGCTTACTCCCAAGTGTTATTTTGTACAATTGCTCTAATACTTCTGTATGTAAACCACATATGAAATATTTACTTTATTTACAAAGTTCTGGCATGAAACTCTAGATGGCGCAGACTGATAGGTACTTAACTTATTTGGTGGTCATCTACTGTCTTACATGCTTACAGCTATGTCTGTGAATGTATTGGCAGTAGCAAGTCTGGGGACGATCTATTCCGCCAAGACCAGACGCAATAACATTGCCATATCCGTGACTATTACCATGCCAATCTCTCCGAGAGTTGTCATGACAGAAATTATATTAATAATCTTTCTTCCCGTTTGTAAATTAGCAGCCTAAAGAGACAAAGGAAAACAACAAAACAAATAATTTTCCCCTCTCTCATCTCTTATGCTCTTACAGAGTGTTTTTGTTTGACAAGACGAATTTCACTACAATCTTTTAATCAAGATGTTGCCGTTACATTTTTGAGGGATATGACATACCAGGGCATGAATAATGCACACAAGCAAGATGTTCAGCCTAAAATAAGGATGAAATATTATGTATCTATCACAAATATATATATATATATATAATCTTCTTCAGCTGTTTTGATAGTTGTCACACCAAAGAATTATCTGAAACTGAGCAAAGCTCTTGTACTTTGTAAGGTGATATGTGAAACCCAGGTTTGTTACCTTGTTTTTTGTCTCAGTATGACTGGATTTGGTAGTTTCTATATGAATAACCTGTGTGGGAATAATGAGTATGATTATGTGAAATGAAATTGTGACTACATTTTCTAGTAGCTTAAGATTATGTCTTGAATTCTAATTTAAACAAGATCATGGAGTAGTCATGTTGGTTTTATCCACGTTTTCCAGTGTTTTTGGAAGATCTAAAATAGATATTCAAGCAATAACATACAAGCAAGAGATAACATGTAATAATCACAGCCATGGTGATGCTGGAATCAACAATACGATTGTGTGTGTGATAATTGCTTTTGTACAGCACATTAATAAACAGGAAAGTTAATATTGAATAACTTACATTTTAGACGCAATATTACTAGTTGCTTTGTTTTGCTAGTCCAGGTCCACCTCTGTAGACCTGATTGGTGGAGTTATGTTGGGTGTGGCTAGACCTTCAAGCTCCATCCACATCCTCAAAGTCAGTTCAAATACAAATAACTTTGTTTATGCTTTTGTTCTGTGTACCTCATATCATCCAGATGTTTAAAAGTATATCTGCACTTTTATAAGGAGATAAGAGCATGTGATTTTTTTTTTTTTTTATATACATGTGGCTTTGGTTATGTAAGTTATAATGATTCAAGATGTGTTTGTGAAAACATTCATACTCAACAAAGTTGTGTGTATGTAGACATACACATAATTAATGAATGAATGAGATCCAGTGTCTCTAAAACTTTTTGTATGGAATTAGGCTGGACTGATATGATTCAATTCAACTTGCATATTTGATAGCACATACAACAAAGTGCTGCAGTGATTATGTTTGTAGGCCAACTCGGAAGTTAACATCCCCATAAAACAACAGCATTTCTCCATTGGCTTTTTGGATTATTGCAGAAAACTAGATTTGTGACAAACAAAATTTTGATTTTTACCAGGATAATCTTCTACTATCTTTTAATCTTTACTAGGATAACTTTGAAGCTAAATACAATGATCAGAAATAAATAGCTAAGCGTAGACTAAACTAACTACACCACGGTCATATGACTTCAACAAACACAACCATTAGGCCTATGCTTCCAACTTTTTGAGTCTCAACTAAAAAAAATACAATAAATTTCCCCTGAAAGTTTGGATTAGAATAGTATAACAAAAGCTCAATTACGAGGCTGGGAAAATGGATGAATGGGTATTTTACTTGTTCGGCATGCTGCTGTCGCCAACAACCTCTGTAGTTCCAATTTAGCCACTTGTTAGCAATCGCCTTTAGGACAAGTGAAAGCACAGGGGTGGATTACTTATGCATTTTACGTTGTAGAATAAAACGTGAAATGTTTGTGTTAACCACAGACCTTATTAGCTAGTAAGATAGAAATTGAGTGGGATTTAAGGATGTAGAATATGGTCATGTAAAATAACTAATAAACAGCCAATATACAAATAACATGCATGCTAATTAAGCTAATTAATAGTGAGAAATGGATCCTAAACTTAAGTGTTACCAAAAATTGATATCCCTTCTCAGGCCCATGGCATCCCTTCAGCAAAAGGTGTTGAATCCCAGAGGCAGACAGACTTGGGCAAGACTCAGAGTCTTGCCTTCCTCCCCGGTCACTGGTCTGAATGCTTAGTGTTATGGCCGGTGGATCAAATTTTCATTAGTGTGGATGCTGGAGCTCTACCGTGCTAATCCATGCCTATTGGATACAAACTTCACTTGCTATAATAAGACAGTGATCTAACCAAGGCAAAAAAGAAGGTCCACAGCGTACCTGACACACAAGCGTATCTACCTCGGGACATGATACATCATTGACTGGCATCAGAGCAAAAACAGGATTTTAAAATTGGTAAGTTTTGCTATAATGAGAGGATTCGTTTGTTCCGTGATCTGTGCGACTCAGTTTAAACAAGAGTTTTCAGGCATGATTTGAGATCAAAGGAGTACATATGAATATCACAATGAAAGGATAAAAATCAGATTCATTTTAGTGGGGATTGGGGAACAATCTCAAAATAAATTATTCCTCTGGCCTGATTTTATTGAAGACTGGACACTATTAATATCATCATGCCTGTGCCATACACGGACGTATCTAAGGAGAAAGATCAACAGGAGCTGAGCTCGGACACAGATGGAGGTAAGATACATCAGAAGCAAGAAATAAAAAGCTGAGTTTCTTCAAACAGCATGCCTCAATCTCATCTCAATGGATATGCCTGACTCAATGAAAGTAGCTTGAAAGAGACGGCACTATGACATGTGGGGAAAGAATCAAAACAGTCTGTAAAGTGAAAACGGAGACAAATTTACACTTTCTTCTAAGGCATGTCTCAACTGCTTTGACTCGGTTCCCAAATCAGTAAGGGTATTTGTAATGTAATATGACAGCCGGAGACTAAATGCTTTACTCCATGAGATCATGACTCATCCACGCCTGATCGGGAAAGATCTGAACCCTCTTAAACATTACAGAACAAACAGCAGGCTGAGGTTACACCCAGACCGACAAGTGTCAAATTTAATGATTTAATCAGCCGCACATGTTGTGCTCATGCTTGGAGGCACTTTTGCTGAATTGCACAGTATTAAAGCAAACCATTAAATGTCTTTGTTGTTTCATAATGGATTGTAGTTCAGTGATTAATATAAAATGCGTTTCAATATATCTGTGCATGTAAATCAGCATGTCTGAACCTGGGAAAGAAGATCAGTGTTCCTCAGGATCTGATGATGGAGGAGCTCAATCTACTGTCAAACAGAGGATCCATAATGTTTCACGAGAGACTCAAAAGAGTGGAGAGATTCACCTTGGAGAATATAGCAAACAGACACATCAATGTAAGATATCTTACTGTAGTCACAAAGTTCACAAAGGCAATATATGGATTACAAAGTTCAATATGGATTTCATTCATGAACTTGGTCCCAGTGTTAACCAATAGTCAAATAGCTATGTAATTATTTGAGTGTAATGTGCATAGTCAATTATTATTTCTATGCGGATTAAAACATGGATTGTGGTAAATTTAATAACAAATCGTATATTTGAATAAATCATGTTTTAAAAGGTAAACTCGCGCAATTTTGAGTGAAACAGGATATTCAGTGAGAAGAAAATAGGGCAGGGTGTGATTTTTCTCCATTGGAGACCCTGAAGTAAACCTAAGATCTTTACCGAGGTAACGTTAAACCAATTAGGAAATAACTGGGGGACCACCTTCCAGGAGCATTTAGCTCTTGCCCTAATTAAACACACCTGAACCAGTTAATCAATGTCTTCAGGGTGACTAGAAACTTGAAGGTCAACTCCTCAGGCCCTTCAGGAGAAGATTTCACGCAGCCGTCATTTTGAAATGGCTCCAGTCCGGTAGGAAGAAAACCGGAAGTGTCGCCTTTAATCATAGTAGGAGAGTCGCGAATGCGATGGCGTATTGTTGTGTTTAATGTAGAAATTTGTTATTCTAAAAATGTACATACATTTCTTTCATAGTTTAGATATACAGTGGATTTTTATAAATGTATATATTCAGAATATAAAAAAGAAACAGGAACGAACTATATCCTATATTGGATATTAACATCTAATAGTTTAAATCGCGGCAGCAGCTTCAGGTTTGTAGTCCTGTCCCAGACAGCAAACTGACATTGAATCAACGTGGAAACGACGTCTCTCATGACATTGAAACAACGTTGATTTTGCTCATCGAATTAACGTTGAACCAACGTCAGACGCGGCATTCTTCAAAGCTAAAATTGGTTTGCTTTCATAACGTTGAAACAACGCGTTGATTTTCCGTTAGTTTTGAAAGAATGACGCGTCTGACGTTGGTTCAATGAGCAAATTCTGCGCAGAATCGATCACCGGTGATCAGCGCGAGATGCATGCCGGTTAGAAATGTGTCCGAGAACGGTCCGCCTGGCTCTGATGTCATGCCGACGTATGTCAAAAAACTCTCGCGAGCGCAAGGCGGAAGGGTCGGATTCTGCAGTCGCGCGCAGTTGCTCTCCACCGACTGCGCTGATCAAAAGCATGATGGGAAACGACTTGCTGACGACACAGCTTAATGCTCATTGGTTTAAACAACAGTGATGAAGGTAAATTCCATATTCATTAAGCTAAATTCTCCAAATCAAGGCCATGTTTTATTTTATTTATTTATTTTTTCAAATTGAAACTGATATTGTGAATCTCTTAAACGGGTTAAAAATAAGAAAGCTATAGTCAGTAACTCAAATATACTAGGCCTACTCTAAAATGTTCAAGTGAAAAATAGCTCTCATTTTATAGATGATGAAGTTTGTAAGTCTGTCTATTTAAGCTATAAGCTTATTTTGATTTATTTATTTAGGCTATTTTATTATTAATTTTATTCTGATGTTTATTTATTTGTCGCTGTATAATAGGCCTATTTGTTTCACGAATTGTGGTGCTTGTAGGTAGGCTATGTTTGTAACTTGCATTCTAATAAAAAGGTAAAATAAATAAAAATAAAAATAAAAGAACAACAGATGAATTGTTCTCTTTTAAAATGTTTGATTTTAAAACTGATATCATGTTTTATGTGTATACATATGGGTGAATAAACTCTCTGACAGTGCCATATGGGTTATATTTCATTTTTGTTAAAACAATAGGCTATATAAAAACACGTCTGTATTAAAGAAAAAAAAGATTGATAAACACATATTTGGAATGTAATTAAATAACAAGTACTTTGGGTGTCTTGTTCATTATATTTATTTTTATATAAAAGCAACAGTTTATTAGCAACACGTGCACGAGCGTGAATCCCGTTAATCCCGCGATATCCGCCTTTGATCTCACAGATGTCTGATTCACTGCGAGAACCGAGATCTGTCCGGCTTTATTGCGCTTTTTTCACTCCTCCCCTCACTGCAGCCGCCTACTCTCGACTACATTGCAGGCGAGGCGAGGCGCATCTCAAACAAGCCTAATGTCAGATCAACGTTGTTTCGATGTCATTTCCACGTTGATTCAATGTCAGTTTGCTATCTGGGGTAAGACTTCCGGGATTTTTTCCACCGGCCGTCTATGCCCACCGGAGCCTCGTTTTCGATTTCAAAATGGCAGCTGTGTGAAATCAGCATTAGACACACCTGAGCTAACAATTTAATCCCATATACTCATTAAAATAAAGGTTCTTCTTTTTGCATCGCTGCAAAAATCCTTTTTTAGAAACTTTATTTTTAAGAGTGAGGTTCAGAAATATAATAATGGAAGTTTTAATACTACACTGACCTAGCACTTAGAGGCAAGCCTTCAAGGTCAGAAAGACAAACAAGGAGAGAAAGGCGGCGAGTACTTCACCTCTGAGAGCTACATCACCCAGCCTGGAAAAAATAACCTGGTCACCGCACTCAACAGCACAGTTGCTAAGAAAGGAAACCCAAGTTTGCTTGCACCTGGTAAATACGAACAATGTGTATCTTTAATTCTGTACGAGTATATCAGGTTAAATTTTGTACACAAGTCAAGGAAAACCCACATTTCCTTCACACAGGTTATGGGGGGCACCTGAAAGAGGTTCCTCCTGAAAAGTTCAATGTCACTGTGATCCCCAAGTCTTACCAATCACCCTGGGAGGAAAAGCCTATTGACAGAGAAACACTTTTGGCTACTATAAGTACCAGAACCAGCCTTCCTGAACCACCTTACAAACTCACCCCAGCCAACTACAAATGCTTCAACAGGTACCCATTGTAACCCATTAAGCACAACTACTGGCATCCTCATTGGTAAATTCAGCATTAAGTAAAGTAAAACTTTGTTTCATTTACTTTCTAAATACACTTTCATGGTCTTATTGTAAAAATGTTTGGTTATATAATCTTTGTGGAGAATCACAACATAAAAAAACCTTTTATTTAAAGCTAAAGTCAAAACAGGACAAAAAGGCAAAAGAACAAGACTGCACACTTAATGGCTTCTTAGCATGTCCACTCGTCTCTCGTCTAATAGGTAAAATCGGATTATTTTTAATCATTGTTCTTTACAGAGCTCCAACACCATTTGGTGGGACAGCAGGTACGGCGAGGACTCTGCCCCTACCTGGGTTTGAGATGCTGCAGGCTCACACAGAGCCACGCCTAACCTGGGACAGGATGTGCCACCGGCCCAATTTCAACCGTATGCCACAAGGATGGAGAACCCAGTACGTTATAGAGTCTCCGGATTTGTGAAGCTGGTGAATTTTGGCAAAATATAAGTGAGGACTAAGACACCACTGTGAATTGTGAGCTGAGCCATCAAATACCAATTTAACATTTACATACATTACCTGCTAACATGCTATGATACGGTTTACGTAAACATTCACACAGTATTTCAAAATGTGAAGCATCTTTAATGTAAGCACAGAAAGCTGTACATTAAAAACAAGTCTTAAAAACAATACGGGATGATACACTTCGTTCTTTATATTTAGAGGACAAGAAATGGACACTAGTGGGAACTGTAATATGAACAATGGAATATTCTAGAGGTGTAGGACAATACAGTGTTAAAAACAAAAATGGAGATGTCAGGCATTTTAAATAGTCAATAGTGCCCCCATTTGGTAATTGTTGGTCACTGCAACCAATTCTTTGCCATTTGGCCCTAGAAAAGGCCCATCTGTTTCATCACGGGTCATTATAAAATAAAAGCTTAAAAAGAAATGTTTTTCTCTCAAGGTTTAAATTCGAATGTTTTCAGTATGCATTTGCATTCCATCTTACTCACTTGCTCTGAAAATGAGTGACACAAACATTCCAAAAAATGAGAGCAGAGATGACATCACTCTGGGTTTAGTTGTTCAGTGGACCTCACTGGACAGTGAGGTAAGCCATATGACTATCTAGGGGCCTCCATGACGACTTGCATGAGCGCCCATCCGCTGAGGATCCTGGGATGGGTAGTGGACCTGTCCAGGTGGCCGCATGCCCATTGGCGGAGGCATTGAAGGGGCCATGGGATCCATGGTGTGGAACATAGGAGGACCAAACCCTGGAGAGAACAGATGAGGTTAATGGAGATAAGTGAAGGATTACTAACAGGCCAAAAAAAGAGGAAGTGAGTGGGGTGATGCTTACCAGGTGGTGGGGGCATGGCAACCCCAGGTGGAGGAGGAAGTCCCAGGTTCATGACAGCAGGGGAGCTGGTTGGAGGCAGGTTGAAGTAATTGGTGGAGGCATCTTCATCAGACACAGGGGGTGGAGGCAGAGCTGTTGAAAAGATTTTTGAAAAAGGAAAAATTCGCACACTGCTTCAACTTGTGCAATATACAGTGATCCCCAATTTATTTTGGAATTTATCTTGGAAAAAGTACAACTTAATTTACTTTATAAAGTCAATGAATAAAAAAAAAAAATGCAGACTGTTTAATAATAAATACACTTAAAAATAATTTATTTAAATAAAAATCCAAACATTTATAAGCAGTACATTTAATCTTAGTTTTATTTTAATACCAAATCAATGTAAATTTAATTTACTGGTGTGACAGGTCAAGCTCCAAAATAAATACATAAAATAAATAAATAAAATACTTCAAAAGCAGTCCACACAATTAACAATAAGTAAATCAGTAAGTAAATTAAAATAAGTAAAAAAAAAAAAAAAAATTATCAGTATTAATATTAAATGATTATATTTAATTTACTAGTGAAAGGTCTAAATAAAAAATATATATATTTAAAAGCAATCCATTCAATTCATCAAATAAATAGATAAAAATAAAATCAATAATCATACTTTTAACTTAATTTATTATTAAATTATCATTGTACATTTATTTAATTTACTAGTGTGACTGACGGGTCAAGCTCCAAAAATAAATGAATTAATACCATGCATACATTTCAGTCAGAACCACTGACATAAACTCATTATTTTACTAACACACATATGCATGAGAGACTTTGGCACATACCACCAGGGAGCCCCGGCACTGGTTCCAGACGGATTCCACTCTCCGTCACGCCATCCTTCTCTTTCCCTCGCGCCGCCTGTGACCTAAACGACACACAGCAACATTCAGTACTGCCACCACCACATACATGAGACTGGGTGATTTTCAGGTTATTACCTGCCCCATTTAACATTGAGCCGGCGTCCATTAATGATGAGTTTATTAAAGGACTTCTCTGCAGCCGTCTCTGCGGCCTGCCGTGTGGCGAACTGGATGAAAGCACACTGCTGCCTCTGAACAATGGTGATGGTACGAATCTCCCCAAACTGGTAGAAGTGATTCCTTTGTGGAAAAAAGAAAACTGGAATCTTTAATCAAGAAATGACTCAGAAGAGAAAAAGGATAGGATTTTTTTTGTCTCAATACAACATAAAACACATCATTAAAATAATAATACTCTTTAAAATGGTTCCTAAATAAATTACATTGTTCAATTCCCCCTGTTGTGAAAATTAAGCTTTTGTTGCAATGTTGTTTATATCGCTATGTGGTGTTTTTGATGTGCTTTAAGACAAACCATGCACAAATTCATTCAAAGTCAACACCATTGCTGAGAATTTTCTCCTTAAAACTAAAAAAAAAAAAAAAAAAAAGTCTCAAAGACACGTTTTGAAGTCGCTGCTGTTTCTGACGGCACAAACTACCTTGTATTCAATACAAGAAGTGGGTGCAAGTGAGTGGAGGCAGGGCTCATTTACATATTCATAGAACCAAGTATTCTAAATTAGGCAAGGGTGTAGAGTAACATTCAAGCTATTTTAAGGCATGAAGAAAAAAACAACAACTTTTAAATATGTAATTTTGGTGATCAAAGAAGTTTTTAGGGATAAAATTACCGGCAACATTAGGACTTTAATTATTTTACAATTATACACTATATAAAACATTAACTTTTTTTTAAAACTGTGGTTAAAAGAGGTAAAAATGAAATAAATACCATTCGTTTTCTCACACAAACCACTCGTTTATAATATTACCAGTACTTTCTAGGCAAGCACACGTACTGTAAAATAAAGTGCAATCCTTATTAATAAAAAAGCCCATGGGCAAGTTGCGTGTCAACTTACCAAATATAGCTTTAAGAGCTCTAAAGTGCACTTACCTGAGCTCAGAATCTGTAACGTTTTCTCCCAGTCCCCCAATATAGAGTGTGGTGATGGACTTGTCCTCAGGTACGTCCAGTCTGGGCATAGTGGAGGCCCGCTTCAAGAGTTTATCAGCCACAGGATCATTAATGCCATAGTAACGGTCCTTAATGTTCTGATCAGCCAGTGGGTCATCTGGATCGGTGGGCTTTTCGTGCCTGTGATATCAAAGCAATGCTTTATCACAAATGTACTCAAATTCATAATTGCTGATTACATAATTCACACCGTAAGCATATTTCATTAAAAAGCCACTCGGAAAAAAAAAAGTTTATCAAGCAAGCAATCTGACCAAAAAGACATGAAGCAAAATGAAACTCATGACCACCAACACTGGGTGACAATGGAGAATTTTGGGTAATCATTTTACACTGATAAAAGACTGTTAAGATGTTGCTCACCTGTACGGACACTCTTCTCCTCTCTTACACTCCCCTTTCACCCAAAAGGAACAGATGTGAGGTCTGTTCCTCTTGTAATATGGCGTGGTACGAGCCAGTTTCAGCAGCATATCGCTGCTGCTCGGCGCCTTCCCAAGCAGCCCCACAGGTCTCGTGCCATCAGAGTTAGCGATCTACACAGCCAAACATTACAGTTATTTGACCCACAGACACTAATAAGTATTTTCATTCACTATGCTATGTTATCATGTGGAAATCCTAAAAGATTTCTTTGATGTGCAGTGCAGACAGACGTCACAAAACCCAAAATTTACCTCTCTCTCCATATTCTGAGTGTAATACTCCTTATTCACGTCCGATCTCGGTACTTCATCTTTAACGGACAGCCCAGTGTCACGAACCTGAATCGGCAAGCCTGTCCAAAGCAGAAAAAGTAACTTTATCATTTAGGAATATTTATAATACTATAGTTATTATGTTAAAATTCTAAATTGACTTTTAAGATTCAACTTCAACTTTAAGTCATTGTTGATTTATTTTTTTAAGTGATCATTTCGACTATGACTTAGCATGTCATAATTTCCACTCAATTTTTTATTATGTGGAAAAGTCACTAAAAGTTCACAATGTGAAGCAAACAGCAAAAATATACCTATACTAAGATATAGCAATTTGTCAACTAGTGTATACAAGTTTGAAACAACCTGAGGGGGAGTAAATGATGACAGAATACTCACTTTTAAGTTAACTATTCCTTTAATGTGAACATGATTTTACTAACAGATATTTATATGACCACAAATTGGGATTTTATTAGCTGAAATTCTAAACCATAACAGTTCTGCATTACCATATTCCAGATCCAGGAGGCAGGTCTGACAGACGTTCTTCATTTTACTGCAGGTCTGACACACTTCTGTCTTCTTAAAGCGCATCCTGACTCCGGGACACCAGCGGAACACCGTGAAGGGACGCGCACAGATCTAGAGGATTGGAAAAAGAGAATATAATAACATGCTGCACTTTCAAATTGTGGGGCAAAAAATATAAAGCATTATTTTTCAAGACCTTTTTTTATAGGATTTGACTAATAATTTAAGCAATTACTGGACTGAGTTTCTACTTGTACAGGAATTAATATTAGTAAATAGAAATGTTCTGAGATGACTGTCAGGAGCACATTTAGCCTTTTTGTGAGGATGAAAACTGCAGTACCTTGCACTCCTTGCCAAATTTCTCTTTGGTCTGTTAAAAGAAATACATGTACAAAGTTACAATATGCTTAAATACAAACTAATACAACTATCATATACTAATAATTAACACATGAAACTGCTCTAACTCTACTCACCATGCGGATATAAGGGTTTTCTCCCAAGCATGTTTGACAGAGGATGGGAAAATCCTGTTCAAATAAGTACAAATCAACAATTAGATAAATAAACAAATACGTTTTGAAGAACTACTGTTATTATATGCATATATATATATATATATATATATATATACACACACACACACACACACACACACACACAAACAGTTCAAAACAAAGTGCACGTTATGAGCCAAAAATATCTCTATTATCCATGCACGTTTTAATTAAAAAACCGTGTTATTGGTGTTATATAAACTCTTTTATTAACAGGATACTTTTCACTTTTATCGAATATAATAAGCCTTTCTCGTCATTTCAATTTCAATGAGAGATTTATTAGCGTCTATACAAAAATAATCAGTTATAATACAGTGACATGAGAGAGGATGTTCACACTATTCTGTTAGCAAATACCGGTGATTCGTTTAGGGTTTACAGTAAATGAATTAAAAAAAAAAAAAACATTTTGACATCGATAAGAATGTGGTTTCATAAACATTAACGTTAGCCACACGCTAAGGCAATACGCTTCTACAGAAGGGGATCCTATTAGGAAAGGATTTAAATTGGCGAGCTCAAAATAAAGAACGTAAATGCACCAGTCGCAATAAGTAATACTTCTTAAAATATGTTATACTCACCGAATCCTCCCAGTTTTGCCTGTTGTAAGTGTTGGAGCCTAACGACGTCGCCATTGCTACAGGCTAGCGCGAACGGAATCTTTACCTACAATGCTTTGCGTCTATAGGGCTGGGAAAGAATCACAGCGCCACCTAAGGTCGTGGAGGAATTTATACAGTTCTCCCATTTCTCCTTCTGGATGGGGAAATTTGAATGTACTCTTTCTGAAACCTTCCCCGAAACAAACCCTCACTTTGACCGTGCCAATTTACACAACGTCTTTGGAATATCAGATAAAATATTAAATACACACGAAATCAAAACATTTGAAATTTGCTCTACCCTCAACATTTTCAACATTTAAACTAATTTCTGTGGTGGTTTTTGCTTTAGTATTCTTTGCTTTGTGAATATTTCCTTTCTCTTCAATGTTATTTATGTTTTAAGTGTACAATTAGCTGTTTGTGAACAATTATTGTACCCAAATTTATAGCCTATCACTTTTGTTTCAACGTTTTTTATTTTATATATATATATATATATATATATATATATAGATCTATCTATCTATATATATCATAGATCTATCTATCTATAAATCATATTTAACAATGCCACCCCCAACCCTCATCAGGCTCCTATCACTTTCAACATTGAGTAACAAATCTAATTGCTAATTGAAAGCTATTTTTTGGAAGTGTCTTTTATCTTTTTTCATCTTAAAATGTGACTGTGGTGATATTAATTGCAATTCAAAGATCCACTTTTAATATTTTGTCAATAACTCATCAAAATTGTGATTTGACAGCAATTTGGAGGGAGTCAACAAATGTGACATGATCTAGGATGTACAAAGGAATGTAGGATGAGCAATGGCATGATAACCAGTCTAATGTCATTACGGCCCCCTAGACCATTAGTGTCAAAGCACTGAAGGCCATGTGATGTGAAACACTGGAGCTTATGAATAAAGAGTGACCTAGATTGTGTAGAACGATTCTCCACTATACAAATGATAAATGCATAATGACAAGGTCTGCCTGTAAGGCTGCTACTCCGTATGGGATCATGAGAATGAATAATCAAAATTTTCGGTGACATGCATGAGGCACAAAAGAATTTGTATCTAAATATTGTATAATTGATCAATTTTCAAGAGAAATTTCAGGCTGTAATTGTTAATTATTCATAAGATAAAATATATTCTTTTATGTAGTTTCTTTATAAACAAAAAAAAGACAAATAATTAAAAAGACAGTGGTTTCTTTATTTGCAAATTAATCACAAAAATATTGGCTACCAACAATAAAAAATATTAACAACAGTAGGTTTGATTGTACAGTCCAGATGATTATTTCCTTACAGTTATTTTATTCTACCGATTGATACCCTACATTATGATACAGAAAGCACAATATTGGCAGTGTGAAAGTCATTGGGACCCTCTGCACGTCTGTGAGTGTCGATGTATAAAAAAAATTATAACTAGTTCATTCATATTTTAGAATTTCTCTCAGTTCCATTCACTCAAAAAAACAAACAAACAAACAAACAAACAAACAAAACAGGTTCTGTACACTGTGACAGAATTTGTGCTTGGTGCAAAACATCCCATTTAACCAGGAAACATGATATTGCATTATTATTAGATGTCAGTTGTGGGTTTGGGAGCAGAAATACAAAACGATATAGAGTAAATGAACTTTTCCATGTGTGTGATGATGAAGAATCCGAAAGCAGCATGTAAGGTGCATGATTCTGTACCGCAGACAGTAGTAAACTACTTCTATTTCAACCAAGACCCAGTAAAACTATCTGTAAAAGCCACTGGTAATACAAAGATGCTCTGTGGACACAAAAGTCTTCCTGTGGACTGTCGCAAAACATTTGTGGGAAGTGATATCCTGGCATTGTACGCTTGGTCACAAATATTGTGCTTCTCAAGCATCATACTTTGAGGTCAATGAAGAAAATGAAGTTGTTTTTTTTTTTTACAAATAAGATCTATATTATAGAAAATAAACGCTCTGAGATACTGTCACTTCTCCAACTGTAATATTGCCAGACCCCTTCCATCCTAAAGCAGGGGTGATTTCTCATCAAACATTGTACTTTTTGGCGCCTTTTCATCGTGAAACACGTGACCGACGGATGCACTCGAATCAAACCGCCAAAAGTCAATCGACGCTCACAGCTGTTAGAGGAGACTGATATATGCTGCGCAGAGTGAGTCTGATGTGATTGTGCATAGAAGTATGGAAGAAAGTGCACAAAAAACCCTTTGAAAGACACATTAAAAACAGAAGGGAGCCAAATTAAATCCAATTAATTTTATGTTATACATAAAATGAGATTTGGGCTCGTTCCATGACTTCTCATTTCGGCAGCGAGAGAAATGAAATCCATTAGCGCAGTGGTTTAATTCAGCTCCAGGGACTGGGTTAAGGGGCTTTGTGGAGCTTTCCATGGATCGCCATGCCTGCACTGAAAAGGCATCTTGTCTGTTATATAGCATCCTAATTCCTTGCTTACATTCATGGGTGTAATTCCTACGGTTCAGTAGCAGTCAACAGTTCCTACAGAACACAAGTCATAAAATGTCTCTTGGCAGAGGAAATACATTCCAGGACACATTCTGATGACAACCCTGAATGAAAAGTGATTAGATGTTGTGATATGCTAAAACAAATCACTTTAAAAAAAAAGGAAAAATGGGTAAAACATTCATTAAAAAAAGATAAAAAAAAAAATACAGGTGATAAAAGATTACCGTCAGGCAGGTTTTATGAATCACTATTAAAACGGCAATCCCCTTACTTAATGCTCCGGTGAGATTTGTGACATAATGCTAAAATAACACATGGGTCGGTCCAGTTCTCACAGGGACATTCATCATTCGAATTACGATTAAATAAATCGATCAAAACACGTCAGCTTGTATACTTCAGTGAATTTAACCGTAATTGGCTTGATAAAGTTGCATTAAGGCAGTTACTGCACAACGACGTACCCAAATTTTTTTTACAGTTTCATATTTACAGTCACATTGATTATGGATGTAGCTTATCTGTGTTTTAGTACCACAATTTATCACGCATTATCAAGCTGTCCTGGGGATTCGCAACTAATAGCCATAAATACATCGTAATGAAATTTCACCTTTAAATGTCACATTTTAAGCCCGGAGGGTGCAGCTGTAACGAATGGGCTCGATATCCTATGAAATAATAATAAAAAACAGAAGAGTGAAACTACAAGACGAACAGCCTTGAAATGAGTGTTAAAATGAGATTTAACCAAGAAAACAAACTTTTAGGTACCACCCTGGCACTTATTTATCTGTGTGTGTCCTATAGCTCTGTCAAAAGAGATATGTGCCTCCTCTCCCATATTGCATGTCCATTTGTTCTGACACTACGTCTCCCTGGTACTTCAACACACCAGAGAATGTCTTTTGGAAGCCTCCCGTTGTGATCCCATGTCCGAGCGAGATTTGTGGCAGGTGTGCCCCAAGGCTATATCCTGGGCACATCGCTGTTCTCCAAAACGGAACAGAGCCGCCAGCGCGTCCGAGCCCATCTTTCTTTACCGCTCCGCCGTGTCCTCTAGAAGACTTGACCGACCGTGGCCGGCGGCTGACAGGGGTGGACAAGAGGGCGAGTCCGCTTAAGAGCAGAAGGAGGGGTGTCCGAGTCTGACCTGTGTGTCCCCACCCCCCTCCTCAGGTTACCTGCTGTGGAGTAGCTCCTCCCTCAGCCAGCTAGGCAACGGCTGGCCCATTTTGTACAGCAGCTTGGAGAGCTCGATGTTGTGCTCATGGTAATACTCTCTCAGGAAGGTCCGGGACTGTGGAGGAAGAGGATGGGGTCAGTTTCTCTGCCAACATGTAATGTACGTCATGCTAATAGACATATGTGTGTGCTTGTATGGCAAGCCGTTTTAGCCTTTATTCATTTCCAGGATATGAATTCTTGATATCACTAGTGAAATGTCACCATAGGCTGCCATTCAAAACCAATTGTTGATATTCTACCTAGTTGAAATTCCAATTTCACATAATACAATAATTACTAGTAACCTTTATTTTTGATATCAAGAATTCAATTGTTGCTAGTTGAAATGTCTATTCTTGATATCCACAATTTAATTGCTACTAGTAACAATGATCATTTTTGATACCAACCATTCGATTTTTACTAGTGACAATGTTAATTTCTGATATCATGAATGTGATTGTTACTAGTAAGAAAGATATTTTTATATATATATATCAGAAAAACATTTTTAGATATCAAAAATAATCATTTTTACTAGTACCAATTGAACCGTTGATATCAAGAATAGACATTTCAACTAGTGACAATTTAATTATTGTTATCAGGAATTCACATTTTTACTATAAAAATAATTTTATTTAAAAAATAAATTCTTGATATCCACAATTTATTTTGAATGGCAGCCTATGGTGAAATTTCACTAGCAATTAAATTGTTGATATAAAAATATGTAATTGTTGATATCAACAATTCATATCCTGGATATAAAGCTAAAACGGCTTGCCATAGTGCGTGTCCGTTATCATTTAGCTTTACCATTATCTGACACTCAGATAAAATTAATCTTTAAAAACACTAATAATGTAGTACATTTTTAAAAAATGTAATCTTTGGCAAATGTCAAAATAAGCATCCTTTTAATACTTTAGTACATTATAATGTTGTGATGTCAAAATTCACACATTATTTTTAGTTATCAGTCAGTGTATTATTTCAAATTTATTTTGCCTAAATAGTTTAGATTTTTAATCTCAACCATTTATCAGCAAACATATGGAAATCATTACTGGACTTTTATACCGGACAGATTTTCAATCGCAAATAATTTACTGACCACATGAATACATACGGATTGATTAATATAGCACACTATTTTATAACTTTTGTAACTTATTTACAGGAACAATATAGAGTGGAGAGGAAATTATGGAGTAAATGTGAAACGAGCAGGAACTGATTTAAACATCATCATAATGTACTTTTAAAATGGTTTTTATACCCTCATGCTAAACAGCTAAATATTTCTGACTTGATTTTAGTCCACACGCCTCAAGCCTAGAAAAGGTCACGAACCTTTAGCCACTGGTGTGTGTGTGTGTGTTAAATAACAGCTCAAATGAAGGCTCTTTTTTCCAGGGCTGCTGCTGCGACTGCGTCTGCAAAGCCACGACACATCAGTCTGTTCTTTCACCCCTCATTAACTTTGATATGTCTGCCAAGAAGCCTCAAGGTAACATCAAGGTCTTCGACATTCGGCTGAGCATCTCTTTATCATACTCTGTTAAAAGACACTGACTGAAGCTGGGCCCTTCTAGAAAATACACCAGTCTGAATGACCCTGAAGTAATGAGAAAGCTATTCAATGGCTGCAAACAGTAAATGAAAGCTAAAAATACGTATTGAAACATCATTCAAAACTAATGTGACATATTCCTGTATAAAACTGAATATTCAACAGGAAATACTGTAAGGCAAGATTGACAATCTGGTTTGAACCGGATTGTAGATGTTTATTGGTGATTATTATTTATTTTAAAATCTGATATGACCATTTAAACAACCGGGTTGATGCGCTTTTTTTTATTAATACTTTTATTCAACAAGGACACAAATAATTAGTAAAAAGGGCATTTTTAAAGTTAAAATTTCTATTTAAAATAAATGCTGTTTTTTAGTAAACCATTTGTCTAAGAATCCTAAAAAAAGGTATTTACAACATTGATAATATTAATTGTTTCTTGAGGACCAAATCAGCATATTAGAATGATTTCTAAAGGATCTTGTGACAGCTTTACCATCCCAGGAAAAGTATTTACACATTTCAAATATATTCAAAGAGACAAACAGTTATTTTAAATGGCAATAATATTTCACTATATTTCTATTTTCATTGCTGTTATTTTGATCAAATGCATGCAGCATTGCTGAACATAAGAGACTTCTTTCAAAACAATTAAAAGATATTACCGACCCCACACTTTTGTAAAGTGGTATATTTTTAAAAGTCATATTTCATGCCGTTTTGGCTATTGAGATCAACAAACTAAAGAGATTAGAGTAAAATATGGCAAAACATGCTTGTCATCTGTATGAACAAGCTTCTTTCTAGTCTTTCCGAAAAACACTGGATTTGTTTAAAAACCAAAACAGGAATATGAACTAGAATCATAATCTCACATCAATGTCCATGTCAGGATATCTTCTGCCCTTACTCTTCCCCAGGCATTTGGTCTTCCCTCCATCTAGCAGCTGACACCAGAAGCCCTTCTTCGGGTCGAACCTGCAGCAAGAAAGAAGGGGGGAAAAAATGGAGGACCGGCAGCAAAAAAACGGCAATGTTTCAACATCAGCCAAATCAGAAGGGAACATAACAGACAGATGGAGCACAGCAAGGCCTCCAGAGAGGCTGCCACAGGACAAACCATCTTTATTGTCCAGTGGGAGATATGGCTGGCAGATGTTACTGCTTATGAGATTATGTGATACAGCATGAGAGGACAGAGCACAGATAGAGAGAGAAAGAGAAACGAGTGTTATAAAGAGTGTACAGTACAAGCACTCTTGTGATCCTGTCAGACTAATGGGATCCATAAAGATGTCCTAACAAAACACTTCAGGTGCTCAATAACGTCCAGCATATTAATCGCTCTTAATTGTCAAGCGTAAAGCAAACGAGACACTTGGAGCTGTTGTGGACGTGCTTCTTACGCAAGGATCTTGTGGTAGTTGAGCGTATTTGTCAGGCCTAGAAACTTCTGGATTTTGTCCATCACTGAAGCTGGTTCTGTCCTCAGCATCTGTCCATCCAGGACCAGGATCTGAGAAGAAACAAACAGGTTAATGCAAGAAATATGCTGAAAAGCACGGCGTACTGACGGACATGCATGCACTTAGCAAAATACCTGACTGGGGTGATAGTGTGTGAGCCAACGCTGAAGGTGTGTGGCGTAAAGTCCGGGCAACAGACAACGACTCTGCAGGACCCTCAGTTTGATGGGCGCGTCCCGGCCAGCAGTGATGACATCATGGAATGTGTATTTCTGAGCCACAGGATCATCATGGGCCCTCTGGTGCTGGAAAACAGCAAAAACGGCAATGGATATACAAATATTATGCCCCTAACAGGAGAAAAAGACTAAGAAGAGCTCATGTTGAATTAAACGCCTGATTCAAATTATTGTGTAAAAATATTTGATGTATAAAGCAGGACTTTTAATTATAAACAAGCAGGAAATTCAACTACTTTTATCTCGAAATGTCTATGCTTTACTGCCAGCTGCTCGATCAAAAAGTTGAGGGAGATGATGTGCACTAATGGACTTTTACATGGCGTTTGAACATAAATGTGTGATGGGTACACAACCACCCTATAATGATAAAAATCCACCCAGTGCTTTATTTTGAAATCCCCATAAACCATAAGCACGGTGTCAGAACGAGCCGTTCTCAGATTCGGGGCAATGTGACGTGGTTTTGCACAAGCCCCGCCCACGACTGTTGATGGACACTGCAGTTTTAGCACAGACCCGCCCTCAGGGTTGCCAGATTGGGCGGTTTTGCAATCTACTTTCTGAAAAAAAAATTAAGCTACACGTGTAAAATATGGGCTCTGTAGGACCCAGCAGAATGATGCCATTTACAATCATCTCCGAATTACATATTTTTCCATTTTCTGCAGATCTAATCTAGAGTCCGGAGCAGGCATCTTGGCCTTGGCTAACCCTGGATGACACATGAGCAGTTAGATACAGACCTGATACCAGGAATAGGCTCTGTCAGCGGGGTTGATAAGAATGGTGATGATTTTGGCTTTGGGCAGAAGAGCAGCTGCTCGCCGGGCCGCAACCTCAGAGTCGAAGTAGTTGGCACTTTTCTCGAAGTAGAAATCTGAGCTAGTGTTGGAGGGTAGAGGGAAATACTCCATGTACCTGTCATTAAAAACAAACAATTAACATTTCATCTCATCCTTCCCTCGGGTCATTTTGACCTGAAAATTCTTTTTTTTTTTTTAAGTGAATTGTTAATTGGAGGGGTTCAAAACCTTGAACTACGAATACACACTCAAATTTGACTGGATTCGAGGAGGTTTATGTTAAGAATTAATGGAATGCGTCGAGTAATGCTTCATTACACACAGAAAAACCTAAAAAAAAATGCTCAATTAAAAAAAAAAAGCTAAAGGTTTATCAAAAACTGAACGTCTACATGTGTATCTGAATGCATGAAGAGATAAACTCAAGAACTGATTTAGGTAACTGATTTAGACAGCTAATTTGCTCCATATGGAGCTATAAGGCTAACCTGGTTAAAACCAGACCATTCTCAGTTGTACCCGAGTTATGGTCTGGCAAAGCGTCATCGATAAATCATTTCCAGAGGGGCGTCACCAATAGGGTTAGGTATCGTTTGAATTTGAACGATTCTGATTCCGATTCCTTGTTTCGATTCCGGTTCCTAACGATTCTCGATTCCGATTCTTTTAAGAGGCAGGGTCAAAAAAGTTTAGCTAACCTTGCTAACCAACGGCCTTTCTGAAGGAAATACTCCTTCTGTCACAAATACTCCTTTTGTCACAAATTTTGCATTTTGCCGAGATTTTGTTATTTTTAGAAAAGTGAAGCCACACTTTGGACCGCCGACGTAAGCTACTCATGTTCGACTCGCGCGGTTATGCCAACACTTCCGGTAGACGCTTCTTCTTGATGTTTAGCGGTTTCTTCTTCCGCTCGGCAGACTGTGAATATCGAAACTAGGAATCGAAATTTTAACTTTTGAACGATTCCGGGAAAAACAAAAAGTTAGTCTCGGTTCCAATCGATACTCGATTCTCGATACCCAACCCTAGTCACCAACGGACATCGCGGGTAGACCTAAAACCAATCAGAGCGATGAAGGAGATGACGTATGCAGAGATCGGCGGCTTGCGGAGAAACATCCAAGTGTTGTTTTTTGCTTGTTTTTTACAAAAAGGAAACGTTCAAATCGTTTAAAACAGATTCGATAGCTGATTCGAGCGAGTGATGTTCGACGGCGGTATCCATCTTTGTAATGTAGGCTACAAAATCTGCTTCAAAATGTCGTCATCGTGTAAAGCCCGCCCCAACGTTTCTGATTGGTGCCCCAATTTCAGGGGACTGGAAATGGGTTTGAATGAGCTCTTGTCAGAGCAAATCTTTCCCAGGCTACTATAAGGCCATCTAGTGGCAAGAATCATGAAAAATATATTTTTTCCACAAGAGGTCGGCAGAGACACCCAAATAAAGCCGATGTGAGATATTTTGAGCTGATCATTGCATGTATTGGAGCTATTTTGAGAGTTGTAGAATGTAATGAATGTGCTTAAATCATTATTTAAAAGATACAACCTAGTAATTTAATGGTACATACAATAAAAAATAATAAATAATAAAATCTCCCCAAAAACTCAGTTAAAAATTTAAAAACGTCATTTTGACCCATGAGGGAAGGATTTGTTACAGAAAGCAAGGAGAGAATTTAGACAACTGTAAAAAACATGTTTAATTATTGCGGCACCACTGTTTTTCTCTATTTGGTGAAACGAATCTCCCTCTTTATAATCAGCATTGTTTTCGCGATCAAACCACCACATGAACCATCAACTATCATCCTTTTTCCACAAACTGATTAAAGCGAAAAAGAGGGAGAGAGACGCACTAGATGTACATCAGACACCTGCTTTCTATTAGTTACATTTCAGACTACTGAAAGGAAAAGAAAAAGCTGGTAGTCAAGTCAGTGCTGTGTTTTGAAATGACCCATAACACTTTCCTCTCACAGGAACATTAGCCTTCATGTCTCCTAATACTCTTAACTTCAAAGCATGCCAGACCATCACAGACGATACACTTCACCGCAGTTTACAAGAGCTATTTACTAAAGAACCCATGAAAACAGTTTTTTTGCCCGTGTTAACGTACTCCCTATAGAAACAAGAAGTTAGGGTGCAGCAAAAATGAGTCGGGGACCTTCTCATTCGAGAAAGCACTTGACTGGACATAGTTGTGGATCCCTAACCCCACCCCTAATCCTTATTTTGTCCATTAGATCTGAAAAAAGCCTATACATCTATTCGCCCAAAGACCCCCTCAAAGAAGTCAGGATATAACTAGTTGAAAGTGGACAAAAGAGACGTAAAAAAAAAAAAAAAAAAAAAAAAAAAAAAAAAAAAACGCATCTTAATCCCAGGTGTTATCATTATAGTTGTGGTGTGGACTTCCCTAATCTCATAGAATTAGAACGATTATCAAAACTTTATAGTAATAGCTAGCATTATAGTCATCATCCTTGATTTGAACAGGCCTCCAATCTCCTAAACATATACTTAGTCAACGTTTACATGTACACTAGCATATAGACAGATATGGACTATAAGACACAAAAATAAATTTTTCATTTTATTTCATGGAGCCTTTAAATCATGCATGATCCTGAAGAGAAAAGTATGGCGGGAACATTTATGTTCAAAACGTCACCACATACCAGTCAATGCCTTTGTGGTAGTTTCGGCCGTTGAAGAACTGGATTTCTTCAAAGGTCTCCTTGCTGGGGTAGTTACTGGTCAAATCGGAATGCATGCCCAGAAACAGATAGAGAGCAGTAGTTCCTGAACAAACACAGGACAGCAGTGAGTGAACAGGTGATCACATGATCAGGTTTTACACACACCCATTAAAGAGCCCCTATCATAGCATTTGAAATGTTCCTATTTTTGTTTTAGGAGTTCACAAAAACAGTTTAACGTGTATGCAAGGATAAAAAACACTTTGTCTTATAATATGCATTTATTTTTAACTGATTTGCTCAACGACTCCCAAATGATTCGTTCGATGATTCATTTTTCCAAACACCTCCTTTGAGTGACGCGAATCTGCTGCGATTGGTCAAATGACCCAGTTAGTTGTTATTGGTAAACCGTAGGGAGAGACTGTCGGCAACAGAACGCCCATAACCAGGATTATATCTTGTCAAGTGTTGAAAATTGTATATAGTGTTTGAACAAACGTGTCAGAAAAAGTGCACTTTCCACACGGTCCCTAACTCGCGTCTCCGTCAAAAGCGAGCTTTCCCGGCGAAACTCACAATGCGGCGGCTTTTGAGGGCCAGTGCTTATTATATAGAGCGAAGTCATATTTGGTTAAGTCGTTTAGGAGGTAATTGCCATTTTTCAATGAATGTCTGGTGAATATCAAAAACAAAACTAACTTTACCCCGCTTAGAAGCTGCGCGGAGTGTACACAACACACACAACACAATCTGTATTGTGCATGCTACAGAAAACATAACAGCAAACATTATTAACCCTCTGGGGTTGTTCGTTTCAGAGTCACACTCGGGGTGTTCGGGTCTAAATGGACCCAAAGGGCAGCATTCATATTTAAAAAAAAACATGATTTTTTTTTTACTCGTTTTTTATAATATTTTTTCTTTTCTTTTTTGGTGTTTTGAGAAAATTTCAAAAATAAAAAAAATGTATAATTAGTATTAATGCAATAATTATGACAGAATTTCCCCCCATTGAACATAATAGAAAAAATATATATATATATATTTTTCTTTTTTTTTTTAAAGCTGTATTTCATTTTAGAGTCAAGCCTAGGCCTCATAAAAGCAATTTTTGAAATGAGATGGATGCCATCTGGTGGACAAACTGAGTATTTTAAAAATACAAAACACAAGTATAATCTGAATTTTTTGGTGTGTTTGTGTACAAGTGTGTTTGTGTGTGTGTGTGTCTGAATGTGTCTGTTTTGGACTCTTGATGTTTTATAGATTCACCCCTTCACTGGATTTGTAGATTGTACGCACAAAAACTATTTTCACATTTTTGCCAATTTCCCATTCATTTTCCATGCGGGTCCATTTGGACCCGAACCCCCCAAGTGTGACTATTTTTTTTTTTTTTACAACCACTTAGACTATTCACATCCTGTCCCCAATTTTTTGGGGTGTTCATATACCAAATACCAACAAAGTCACTAAATTTCGGACCATTCCGAGGATGCTGTGATTTTTAAAAAAAAAAATTATTTAAATTTTGAGTCCATTTGGGCCGAACAACCCCAGAGGGTTAATAATACTTACAGATTGTGATTCAGAGGAGGACGAACCTGATTCATATACACTGGATACTGAGCCCGGCTTGCGAATCCACATTTGAATTCTTTTATGTTTTTGAATGATTCGTCATTAAAATGATGAGAACACAAGGTTCAGGCTATACTGTTGTGGTATCGTTGCAAATATGAACTCTAACCACCGATTCTTCACATGCTCGTCCCTGGGCAATGAAAACAAGTGGCTGAACTGTCTTTGCAATGTAGAACACGGCGTCTTCTCGACATGACGCGATTCAGCTGAAGTTTTTGAATGTGTTCTAGACTAGACTTCAAGTTTACACTTCCGTCTGCGCGCGCAGTTGTTGGGAGTGGCCAATGAGCTAATGTTTTGCATCTACGTCACGACGTAACAGCTAATGACTCGTTTCAAAAACAATTCATTTCATAGAGTCGACTCTCACTTTTGAAAGACAATAACTTTATATACGGTGCACTTTCAGATATAAATCTTTGCAGGATGTTTTCATTCCCTTAGAGCTATACTCCACATATGAACAGTCATTTTAAAAAATCCATGATAGGGGCTCTTTAAAGGAAAACGTTCTCACATTCATATCATTTTTTTATGTTTCATATTGTCAGGTTGATTATATTTGTATAATTTTTTTTTTAAATAAAAAATGTCTTTGTATCAAGACTTTTGGCCCTCACTGTGTCTCATTCTGTTATTGAGTTATAGGAGTAATTCCATGTCCATATGTAGAATTGGGGAAAAGGCAGGAAATGTCTTGTGTAAGATGTGATAATGAAGGTTCACTGAAAGTTCACTGAAATTATGCTGTTTACTAGACAAGTCTGAGCAGTAATAACAGTACAAAAAATAATAACTGACCAAATAAAGTCACTCTAAGGCCCAACCCCCTAATCTAAATTTTATTGAGAGGATTAACACAGCCATTTTACTACCCACACTAAGAGTGGGCTATTGCTCCCTGAAGACATCTTTAGAAGTTTAATTAGTCAACGCTGTAAAACTCAAATTCACATTTACTGAGGAGCAGCCAGGGTTGCAGGAGAAAAGCCTGCATTCATGAGCATGTGCAACTCTCCCGACCCAGTAAACACTTAAATCAAGATTACGACTGTGCAAAGATTAATTGTGATTAATCGCATCCAAAATCCATAATATATTTGTGTGTATATATGTATTTATATATACAAAATAATCATACACAGCACACACACACACACACACATATATTATGGATGTGATTAATCCCAATTAATCTTTGCACAGCCCTAATATGCAGTGTTGTGCACTCGAGAACTCTGACTCGGTCTCGAGACCATATTTTAATGGGTCTTGGTCTTGTCATGGACTCGTGTGCATTTTGACTCGGAATTGACTCATACTTGAACATATTAGGACTATTCCCTATTAGTACTATTAGACTATTAGTACTTATTCCCGAGTCCACTCAAGTCCCTTTCAAAATACGACATGATTATTACTGTATGTCAATATTTCTTTAAATTGTTGTTTGATTGAAACGTCCAATGATTGCTGACTTTGTTGTGCGCAACTGCGCATGACTTGAGACTATAACGTTCACGGCGCGCAAATGCAGTCGGACCCAGGTCAGATGTGATGTGGAGCCTCTAGCTCAACTATGTGTTAAAAATGTCTGCCTTATAATCATCCATAATTCAGTTTGCATATAAGAGCCACACAGAATTCATGTGCAGCAATGTTATGTGAAAGAGCACTTAGTGATTGTAATAATTGTAAGTCATTATTATAGTAAAATTACCTTTACACCACTATGTGGCCTTTTTACCATTACAGTGTACATGATTCCATGGTATATAATAATAATAATATAATTTTTTATTTGTAATGCACTTTACATTTCAAAGAAATCTCAAAGTGCTACAGAAGCAAGGGGTTTAAAACAATTTCCAGAGTAAGAAAAAAAATCAACAAATAGCATAAAAAATAATTAAAATCATGATTGTTTAAAAGCCTTTTGAAATAGGCAAGTCTTTAGGCCCCTCTTAAAGACCTCTAAAGTTTGTGGGACCCTTAAGGTCTCTGGGAGGGTATATTTGGTTTACTGTTTGAGTATGGTGCCAATTATATTGTTACCACCAAATATTTTACATATTCTTGAAGATATCTTTAAGTCTGATTTGAGACCCAACCTTATATATATATATATATATATATATATATATACCCATATATCACTGAAATGAGCACTTTAACAATAAAAAAATAAATAAATAACACTCCAGCGAGTCCATCTTAGTGCCTCAATTACCAGCAGAAAATTATGATATATATATACACAGTATATATATATATATATATATATATATATATATATATATATATAAGGTTGGGTGTCAAATTAAGGTTGGGTCTCAAATTGGGCAACGATTAATCGCATACAAAATAAAAGTTTGTGTTTACATAATATATGCATGTAGAGTGTATAATTATTTTGTATATATAAATACACACGCATGCATCTCTCTCTCTCTCTCTCTCTCTCTCTCTCTCTCTCTCTCTCTCCATCCATCCATCCATCTCTAAATATATATATATATATATACACAAACATATGAGAGAGAGAAAGAGAGAGAGAGAATCCTCTTTTTAGAATAATAAGTATACATTGGAATGATTTTAATAAGAGAACATATCTGGCCAACACAGCTAGATGGTGCAAGTGCGCACACACGTGTGGATGTGTATCGAGCAGAAAACACTCACCAGTCTTCTGAGGTCCGATGATAAGCAGCTTGGGGAAACGGTCACAGGTCTTCTCCTTAGACCAGATGTCTTTATGTCTTTTGTCCTCACAGGGGTCCTGTAACGGTAGGAAATAAGCTGAAGTGAAATAGTACCCATATATCACTGAAATGAGCACTTTAACAATAAAAAATAAATAAATAACACTCCAGCGAGTTTATCTTAGTGCCTCAATTACCAGCAGAAAATTATGAAGAAACTGGAGAATTTGTTCTCGTTGAAGCCAGCAAGAATATGAAAAACTTGGAGTTTTACCAACTTACTCAGGGCAAGTTGTAACCCATGTAACCGCAAAAGAAATATTAAGACAGATTAGTAGGATGTCCAAAAGTTCAGGACATGCTCAGGAAATATAGGAATTAGGATGCAGCCTGAGCTCTTCGACTCGGATTTAACATCAGCCGGAAAAAAGTGCGTTATGGAGGGAAGGCTGTTATCCAGCCAAATTAAAACAAACTAGTCAAGCATGTCAAATATCTTACAACACATCAGCAGAGTCCAATAACAAGCAGATTTTATATTAATTCAGACTTAGCCTTTAAACTCGCCACAACATCATCCCAGAGGTGGCCGTTTTATGGGATTCACCAAATAAAAGGCATAAACCAACCCCTGTCCAGAGCTTTGAAGCATCTCAAGAGAAAGATGTCCTGCAGCAGATTGAGCCCTTCATCCATCACAGCCGAAGATGCAGGAAACGGTGGTAATGAATTATAGTTTTAACCCTGGCCTCGAAATTAAAATCTGGCATGAATGTATGGTTAAACGGTGGACCAAGACTGAAAAACCACTAGCAATCCAACACCTCTCCGTCCTAATGAGGAGATTAACGGCTAGTGCCTCGCACTAATGACCGAAGAGTCTTGCTTGAGTACACGCTAGTGCTAAAAGCAACATTACTTTACACATTTGTGTATTTATCACTAATGCACTCATGGGATCACAGTTTATGATAACAGTAAACATGAGCTCTGTTCCAAATCCTACCTAGACAGCACTTCAAGCCATTGCAGGCACGATGCAAAGCCTGTTCCAAAATCCGAAATGCAATAATAATCTGGTGGACACACTAGAGTGGACTGTGAATGAAATGCGATTTATAAATATACACTATGTGAAATGTGAAAATTAAAGCCTTTGTTTCGTCTGATGAACAATAAAGTTGTGTGCACGACACGTTATCCACGGCGTATCAATCAATCAATAAAAACTTTATTACAGACTCAAAGTCCATTTTAAAAGAAAGAAAGAGAAAAAAAACAAAAAAAAAACATAACAATCGTATCATCAGAACAACTGTCAAAAATGGTAGCCTAAATGTTTAACGACGTAAAAAGCGCCCCCCAAAGCACCTGTGAAGCGGAAAACGCAAATATATCAATGGATTCGGTACGCATCGAGCTTGTTGGAACCGTCTAGTCGAACTGAAAAGAACGATACAAGTTTCAGAATTTTTGGTGGCGTTTTCGCGGAGATATCAGCCGAAAACCATCAGAAGCGCTTCAACCATATTCAGCACGAATAAAATGTGTATTAACGCCTGTGAAGAGACGACTCAACGCCGGCGATACATGTTATGTCGTTGTTTTATATATAAACAATATTTACATTTAATATTTATATATAAACAATATGAATGTTAGCCAGAGGAGATCTGGCCCCCGACTGAGCCTGGGTTCTCCCAAGGTTTTTTTTTTTTCTCCATCCAATCTGATTGCCACTGTTGCCTTGCTCGGTTGGGGATATTTAATATTTAACAATATTATTGATCTGTGTTGTACTACTTTCATGTTATCACTGTGAAGCTGCTTTGATACAATCTGTATTGTGGAAAGCGCTATATAAATAAATGTGACTTGACTTGACGTGTATTAGATGTCCCTCTAGTGGACCGAACATGTAACAACAAGCACATGCTATAGTGGTATTGGCGATCCATAAGCATGTGTAATGTCGTAAATATTAATAATAGGATCAATTTTAGCATTTAATATTCGAATATTATTCAAACATTAAATAAAATAAGGAATGGAATTCGAATAGTATTATAGAGGAAGACTGTCGTGAAGCATCGCAGACGTGACGTAGGTTGTCGCCCACTATGACACACTTTACGAGATGATACGACTGAATCTTGCGTCCCGACGCCCGTTGTCGTTTGCGAATGCCCACGATGACGCCCTACGTCAAACGGATCGTGCCAAAATCGTGTAATCTGAACCAGGCATTAGAAGATAGCTGCCCATGTAGGAAGTATATATAAAAGCAGCTTACTAGTTTTTGCACCAGAGCAATGGGCATGCTGTATTAAGTCTAAAATAAAAAAAAAAACTAAACTCTTTCAAAGTTGTCTCTTTCCTCTGCATGTAATAGCAGCTAGCAGATTTCTTGGGAAAACAACTGCAGAAGAAAGAAGATTATTCAGAGCAGGGCAATCCGTGGAACGCCGGAGAGCCGACAGAAAAGATGGGACCTCAACCTTGACAGGAAACGAGAGAGATCAAAAGAGGGATTTAAAGCTTTCAGTCACCCACTTTCTCTTTCTCGAAGGGTGAAACAAAACAACAGAGTTAGAAAGAGTGAGAGAAGAAATGAAGAAGCTGGATGAATTGAAGCGAGTGGAGGAGGGGAGATACAAAGAGAAAGACAGATCTTCTGCATTGCCTCCAACTTTCATCTGAATTATAGGGACCAATTTCAAAAATAGCATTCTCTGATTTCCTGGCAGGCTACACGGAAAACCATTTTCACTCTTTGTACATCAGAGTAAATGTGCAGACAGCCATACAAAACCTTTCGCCACATATTACGGCAAAAGCGCTCAACACTCAACCTCCGCTGATCCACTCCCACTAAATAAAGTTGTATTTGTTTCCCATTATGATGCCAGGACGGAACAGACCCCCAACAGAGCTCATTTGTTACCTGCCAGATGGGGTCCCTCTCTTCAGGGAAGATTTGGAAATATTTCTGTGCCAGCAGTACAGGTGGGAGGGTCTGCAGTTTCAGGTTGGTCCACATCTGTATGAACCTCACCAAGTTCTTAAACGTGTACAGGCCAAGACGGTCATTCCCGTAGTTGGACAGGTGGGTCATGAAGATGCTGATCTGGTTCAAAATAAAGCATAAGAACTCATCAAGGCCCAATCCAACGTCCCATCCTGTGAACAGTTGACTTCAAAACTACTCTTAATTCAATGGATCTTTTACTCTTGAAGGACGATGTTTAAGATTCTCCTTTTGAACGTCTGATGTGAGGGTGAAACTCACATTGGGACCGACCCCCAAAGGTACTTAAAATGTTAGCGGATGGTCTTGTGCTCACCAATGCTGCATTTATTTGAAAAAAAATGTCAAAATTATGATATTTTGCAGAAAATTATTTTTCTCAACAGTTTTCTTTTGTAATATATTGAACCTATAGTGTCACGTGATACTTCAGAAATCATTCAAATATGCTGATTTCTTCTCATTATCAATGTTGAAAACAGTAGTGCTGCCTAATATTTTCAATGGAAACTTTTCCCATGTTTTTCAGGATTCTTTGATGAATTAAATTGGCATTATTTAAAATAGTGAACTAAAGACACTTTTGATCACTTTTGATCAATTTATTGCATCCATGCTGAATAAAACTACTGATTTCCTTGGGTTGCGAGTCATTTTGAGATCTATAGTAGATTGTGAGTGCTATATAAACCAATAGATCTTTCATTGAAAGCATTCATAAATAAAATAATTTCAGAATAAATATTTTTTTAAGTTTAATAATGAATATGCTACTCACAATCCTCAATAGAAATAAGGCATATTGTGGATATGCAAATGAGATCTGAGAGCTAAAGTGTGCAGAAAAGAGTTTCAGTGAATAATGACTTTTTAAAGGTTTTTCTAATCAACCCCAACAGACCATGCCCCCAAAAGTGATCGTGTTATTCACACACTGGTTTAGACAAAGAATACAAGTGTCAATACTCACTGGGTTGAGGAGGACAGTGAGGAAAAGCTCTCCTCCATTTATGAGTTTGTCCAGCTCTTTAGAGCCTCCAGGATACTCATTGTAGAAGATGGTGTGAGTAAAGAGACCACAGGTCTGTCTGGGTAACACCTAAAAAACAAAGATTTTTCTTTCAGTATGTGATCTCTTTATTTCAAATAATCGATTTTCAATTGTATTTACAAAAAAAGCCATATATACACATCTGATATCAAATTAAATTGCTTTTTATCATATATTCTACACATATTTCATGATTTTGTAAAAGCTATAAGCCACATAAATTAGTCCATAACAAATTTTAACAGCTCTCGTAGGCTTACTGATGTATCAAAACAAAAGCAGAATTGTTTGTTTTTGCTTATAAGGTACATGTAACTGTGGTGCTCCACATGTGCACATACGTAGACAAACATATTTCATTACCCATAATACATAACCTCATTTGAGAGTCACTGAATGACCTCAGTGCTGAAAAATGAAGTACAATAACTGGAGGACATTCCACCAGAGTTGAACAAATGTTTTTCGCACTAACAAAACGACGAATGCCGTGGCCCACACATGATCTCATTTGACAGCCAGTGATGGTAGAATGGAGATGATTTACACTAAATGTGCTTTTTTTAGTCATTCTTACGCCATTCTTTACATCATACATGCACAATGAGTCGGCTGTCTTTGTTTTCTCATGCACATTTATCGTTCCCGGATATGAACATTAGATAATAGCTTTTTGTCAGCTTGAAGAAATGTAAGATGTGTCTTTAGAAAAAGAAAAACCTGCAGTGTATGAATCCCAAGATTATTATTATTTTTTTTTACACAACATGGCCAATGCATTCTTATACACACACACACACACACACACACACACAACACCTTTGTCATGATTCAGCAAGCTTTTGTCATACACTCTCTCTGTTATCCCCTAAAGCGATGCACAAATGATAAATATATAAATGATAAATATTGTGGAAGTGCAATATACATATATATATATATATATATATATATATGAAGAGTTCAGATGCAAAAGCCTCTAAGTGCCATTTGAAATTTTCTTCTAGAATGATCATTTTTATCAAGCCTGTATATTTAAGTTCAGTAATTTCACTTAAATTGCAATGAAGATTACCTATTAATTGTCATTTAAGTGAAATTATTGAACTTAAAAATATACAAGCTTGATAAAAATGGTCATTCTAGAAGAAAATTTCAAATGGCACTTAGAGGCTTTTGCATCTGAACTCTTCATATATATATATATATATATATATATATATATTGCACTTCCACAAACAGTTTGCCCTTAACCCCCTACTGGGATTCAAAGCTAAAAGCGTACACAAAATAGCCTGGGGTTTATTGTACCGATTCCAGCCTGAATAAGAGCTATCGTTCAACCATATAGTTGTAGAGGCTACAGTCTCAATAAAATTGTGCAATCTGTTTTTATCTACATAAATTTGTGCCTTGGTGCATTTGTAGTGCATATGTTTTGAAACAGCCCCAGGGATGCAGGTTTAAGGCTATGTTATTTTCCAAACCCTTACTCCAACATTATCATCTTCTCTTTATCCATTAAAGGCATAAAAGCTTAGCATTCTTACACTGATACCACTGTGCGCAAAGCCCCTGCGAAAGCGTGCGGGTTTGAGGTGGGGATACTCCTCTGTACTGGTCACTTTAATGCCCCACACTTTCTTCCAGGCCTCATAGAGCTGCAAATGAATGGGATACACTCCAGAGTGATGAGGAGCCACTGCATAACCCATGTTTGTGGGAATCCCATGCTCCTGTAAGGTAACAGCAAACACAACACCGTAATGGTCAAAATAGTGTACTTCAGGATTTGCACTAAAAATTATGCATGACTTCATTCCAATTTCTATATGCACTAAATGCTGGGAAACAGAAAATAAGTGTTTTTTGATCATTTCAAGGTGTTACATTGTGCTTTGACGCCACATTCCATGTGCATTTGAATGTGATTTGTTCATTTAAAATTAATAACACCTTAACTTTGAAGTTTGTACATTTTTAAAACTGCTGAGACAGCTGCTGCCTCCAATATCTTGCTAATCTTTTACAACAAATGAAAGAAAAATAGTCTCCTCCACAAAAACAAAGCCCTCCACCGCAGGGATTGCTGGCAATATTAGCAACAGCATGCTAGGATGCATATCCATGGATGCACCAAAAAAATAAATAAAATAAAACCATATCATCCAGGCACTTTCAATGTAATGTCTAATCTTGCATATATAGTCAATTAGGCATTGAGGCGAGTAAACGATCTAATCGTGTGACGTCATTACTTGTCAACATTTACCAACTTGAACTAAAATCACTGTGTTCTGTTAAACTGCAAAAAGACAGATTAATATAAAACCAGGTAAAACAAACAATGGGCACTATAAAATGAAAATGTCAATGTTTTTGATTTCGTGTTAAATTTAAATGAAATGAAATGAATAGCATTGTTGGATATTGTTATTGTCAGGATTTTCTTTTTAGAAATCGAGAGACCAATGGTTCTTAATGTCAGAAAAGTAATAAAAATGTGTATTTAAATGTTGTCTGTGGTGTACATACATAGAAAGTGATTAAATATTTTTTTATTTAGAAAGTAGGAATTTAAAAGAAGAACCCTGTTCTTGCCAATTCAAGTAGTTTTCCACCCAAAAAAAGAGGAAAAACCCCTTGCAATTTATCGCCAAACCTTATTAAATTTTTTTTTTGCCACATTTCATAAAAATATCTGCGAAATCCTACATGGACTGTATAATGGAACTGTTAAGTTAGAATGAAATATCAATATCACAATTTTCTTTCAGACAATTGATTTGATCTATAAAAAAAAATACGTACACACACAAAATATAGACCAATTGCATATCATCTACAGGCATAAAATAAATCAAATTGAAAATGCTAAAAGGGTTTTATCTAATAAAAAAAAAAAAAAAAAACAGACTTAATATTCAAGAAAAATCAGATCATGTCTCTAATTATATCAACTAGAGCTTACCTCCGCGAACTTGTGGTTGAGCAGCATTTGTTCAGCCAGCACAGACTGGTTGTGGAAGAGATGTGGCTGCATGTGACTCCACATGTGGGGAAACCACCAGAACTCTTTACTGTAGGACAGAAGCAGGTCATCTCCAAGATCCTCCTCATCTGTGCCTGGGAAATAATCACACACACACAACTGGTGAACATCTTGACTCGATTCCAAAAGCTGCCTTATAAAACAGCATCCTAACCAGCTCATAAGTGACTGATTAGGAAAGCTCACACACAGGAGGCCAAAAGAGAATGTTGTTAGCATTTTGAACAGCGAACAAAAACCTGATATTTACTTACCCGCATGGAAGAACTTTCCAGAGAATCCCAAGTTGAAAGTGAAATTGGGCACGTGGGTTCGGAGCTCATTCTGCGTCTCTAGAAGTGCCTTTGAAACATGGAGTTTAGCAGTTTAATAAAACACCCCTAGGTCAGTACACACACAACACACATTCAAAAAGTACAAAGACAGCAGATGAGAACACAAAAGAGATACGTAGCTTGACACACGCCAACGCACGTATGCGCGGCACCACCGTAACAGCGCTAGAGGGACAGCACTAGCATGTCTGCTGTCTGTTCGTCTCCACTGTTTGCTTCATTACCCTTCGGAGATTTAGCTCTGCATCTGCATCTCATTTGATTTGTTTACTGTGCTTGTTTTTGACTGCCTGTCTCTCCAGTGTGACTCAATCAAAAGCCTGATTCATATTTAACTGCACAGAGGTCCACAGACAGACGAGACGTCTTTGATTATGCTTGCTTTCTATCCTTTCCCTCGGCTGAACATCTGCATCGGGGCACCCCGAAGATGAGAGACTCACAAGGAGGATGCAGAAAACTGCATTTGAAATATTCATGCTTGTGGCGAGTCTTTGGATGCCCTTTGAACAGCGAGTCGTGAGAAAAGAATAAACTAAAAAAAGCGAAATGGAAAGACGGAGAGATTTGGAAAAAGAGCAACAGAGGTTGGAGAATTGAAAGAAAAACTTGTTTCATACCATGAAAAGTTAGTGAAATATATGGATCTGCCAAACCAGTTTCTCCATGTTCTGCTTCTGAGGTGCTTTGGACAGATTAGCATCACCTTCAGCAATGTCTTCTTTTCCTCAATGCATATTTCCCTCAGTTTAAATTAATCCCATCCTGTACATATTTCATTCTGTCCATTTCCAATCCTTTCTTTGACTCATAAATAAGGATTTGTTTTCTGCTGATCCAGTGAGCCATAAACGAACATTTACACAGATCAAAACTTGCACATTTTCTCCCACCACCATTTTCTCCCCCTTACATTATAAATAGATGTATATTAGATCTTATAAATCAAATGACTGAATAATAATGGACAATTTAAATCATAATAGTTCCATCTCGCGCACAGAGGGGCTCAAATCACTCGCACCATCCGCACGGACACAAAAATTAGGCTGCACCCAACAGTACGTCCGTGGACCTTCCTGATGACAAAAATTACGTCACGCGGACCGTCGAAGTGTACTTTGGGCTTAATGTATGTATTAATGTATTTCTGTACATCACAGAAATATCTCAAAGCATAAAAATAAATAAAAAAATGATCTAAAAATTGACTGTCAATTGGCCCGAAAATCTCTCACATGGGTCCTTGTCCATTCTTACTGTTGAGCCCTACTTTTGCTCTATGCATATGTCTGGATCCCTGGATGGTTAAGCAGACAAGGAGTGGGTGAGGGAGAGATAAAGAAAATAGGAGTGCATAATTTTTAAGTGGATGTATACTGCATGGATATATGGGCCACAATCCAATCATAGCCTTAATATAGTTACACTCGATACACATTGAAATGTATAAATGTGATGGAACTGATAATAAAATAGCAAACCAAATGCTATTTATTATAGAAAACCTGCACAGAGCGAATTTCCAAATAAAAAAGCACCCACCTTGACGTCAGAAACCTTCATCCGTGTGCCCTCCTTCCCAACAAAGATGTCATCGACATCCACCAGTATGTAGCGCTCAAGAGCCAGCGAGAGACGTTTGCCAGTCAAGAAACTCACTGCGTCCACCAACACCAGTTTGTGCAGCCAAAAATTCAGGTTGTTGCCGAAGAGTACCCGCTGGATGCCATCATGAAGACCCAAATCCTGAACCACGGCTGCATGAAGGGGTCCGGACGCTCCACTGGCCTCCGTGCTCCGTCCACGAGCTAACAGCACAGGCTCATAGGTGGTATGGTTAGACTGGAAGACAGTCCAGTCATCTCCAGGTAAGGGGCCATGTTCCACTTCCCGGGCCTTGGTTATGAGCAGCAGTGGAGACTTGGGGTTGACGCTACAGTCCCTTAAACCCAGATTGGAGTGCAGGAAGAGAGGAAAGCCCTTGAGCTGGGCACTCTGCAAACTGTTCTCATTAGCCTTTCATGAAGTGTTGGAAGAGAAGAGAACAGATGAGAAATGATTGGTAAAAGAGAGAAAGAACAAAATCCACTTCAGATTAGGGTTTTTAGCCTTTTATTCATACTCTTAGTCATAATTTTGTATTACAAGACCATTATCCATATTTAATGTGCTCATTGCTGTGATGCCATTACCATTTTTAATTGCTTATACTTGGAGCTGAATTAAATTCAGCACGAGTTTCCAACTTCCTACTTGGAAAGGGCAATGGAACTCCACTTAAAGTGAGATTTCCAACTTGTAAAAACACGTTCAAACTCAAAAAATCTGATTTTCAGAAGCTAGTACAGCATATCATATACTCAATTTGGTTGCTAATGGCGTTTTTCTATTACCAGTACGAGCTCGACTCGACTCGCTTTTCGCTCCGTTTTCCATTGCTGACAGATATAAATCCATTTTCCATTGCAGACCGCCACAAATAGTAGCCGGTCGTCATAGCGACGCCTTTCGTTCCTCGTTGCCCTATCAAGCTCTCCCTGGATCCTCTCTTCGGCAACCAAACAAAGGAAAGTCTGCACCTCCTCGTTTGACCACGGCGTATTCTTCCGAGTTGCCATAATAATAGTAGTAAGTTTAGTAACTATCTCTGGCCAAACTATTTAAAAATGGCGGGGATATTCTGGATACTCCATCTGGCACGTGTAATGATTGTGACGGTGAATGGTGACGATTCTTTCCGACCAATCAGCAGTCGGCATTGTTTTCACGTCACATTTTAGTACCGGCTCAGCTCGCCTTAGCTCGCTCAGAACCTCGCCGGAGGTAATGCAAAAAGTACCTGAAAGCAGGTACAGGTACAACTTTTACACAGTGGAAAACCAAACAAAGGCGAGCCGAGCTGAGTCAAGCCGAGCTGGTCCTGTGTAGTGGAAAATGGCCATTAGAGAAAACTTTGTCGAGAAGGAAAGGGCTTTGTGAACAGATTTTTTGGTTTGTTTGTTCCCCTTTAATATATCAGTAATGTATTGCTCATGTACTTCTTTTCGTGAATTAGAGACCCTGTGGTACTGCCAGCTTGTTTAAACACCATCCGCACTCATCTGCATGCAGCCCACTCTCCTCCCAGGCCAGCTGACCCTGCGAAGCTGGATCAATTGGTGATAAACTGCACACTGAGTGGAACAAACACAATGAGCCTTACAATTTGGAGAGAGGCCTGTATCCTGCTCATCTCCAAACACGGCCATTATTTTGCCGCCAGAGGTAGCAATGGGACCCCTCTGGAGAGACGCACATTCCATATGACATGTCTGATGAATAGGGTTGGGTATCGTTTGAATTTGAACGATTCTGATTCTGATTCCTTGTTTCGATTCCGGTTCCTAACGATTCTCGATTCCAATTCTTTTAAGAGGCAGGGTCAAAAAAGTTAAGCTAACCAACGACCTTTCTGAAGAAAATAATCCTTTCTGAAGGAAATACTCCTTCTGTAAAAATACACAAATTTTGCATTTTGCCGAGATTTCGTTATTTTTAGAAAAGTGAAGCCACACTTTGGATCGCTGACGTAAGGTACTCATGTTTGACTCGCGTGGTTATGCCAACACTTCCGGTAGACGCTTCTTCGTTGGTGTTGTTCAGCGGTTTCTTCTTCCGCTCGGCGGACTGTGAATATCGAAACTAGGAATCGAAACTTTAACTTTTGAACGATTCCGGGAAAAACGAAAAGTTAGTCTCGGTTCCAATCGATACTCGATTCTCGATACCCAACCCTACTGATGAATCATGCACATTTTATCAGTTTCTTTTACTGGCAACACACTGAAACAAGAGGTGGTGATGTCACTCAGCAGCACTAGGAGAATAAGGGTGGATGGGAGATTTTCCACATATCTGTGGCCTAAATCAATAACTTCCCTGAGCCTCTCCTTCTCTCCCTAATTCCATATTCCTGTCTACATTGTTACAGCAACACTTCCAAGCCGACGGCTCTTTCGAAGCTCATCAGCATTTTCCTTTCATTGACACTGAACAATTTTTGAACCATGTTAGATAATTAGTCCATTTCCAAAAAGCTGTGTTAAAAGACTTAGGTAAGGTAAGCCACCTTGTTATCTACTGCCAACATAAGCAACTCCTATCTAAGGGAGTCACTTGGAATTTCCTAAGTGACTGATTTGAAACACTATACATGTAGTAACTCTAACAAATTGATTACAATAGTTTGATGTTAGCATGTTGCTAAGCTAACTTGCTAAATACCCTTGCTAAGGGTATTTGGTAAAAAGGCGGAATAGTTTACCGTCGTTTACCAAAAAAAAAAAGGTACCAGCCTTCATGTCAGGCATGTTATGATCCCTTAAAAAGTTTTGGTAGGCAGCTCACTAGGTTTTAGGACACAGCTAGAGTGTTCGGTTGCTGTCGGAGTCTTAATATGGTCCCGAGAGATTATGCCAACTCAAGTGCTGGTTAGGAAACCAAAAGGGTTTATTCCAATTACACGTCGACTCTATGGATATGGGATTATGTCAGAAGACTAATAGGAGGGCAAACAAAAGCCTGAACCCATTGATGCATGCAAGCATAACTAAAAGAAGTGCTGGTGTCCACCGTGATGTATCTGTGTGCATTCAGACGTACTCCAACTCGTGAAAGATAAACGCGTTTGGCATTGACAGGTGCAAGTCAAGGCTTGATGCGAAGGTAATTAACATGTTCCATTAACTAGTGCAAGCACTTTTTTCCTGCAAGGGGGAAAATGTTTGATCTGCATTTAACAACAGGGTCTGTTATCAGACATGCTCAAGGATCTAAATCAATGAAATCCAGCAAGGAAAGGATGTTAACTGCCTGGGCAAGAAAACAACATTTCCAGCCAATCAGGGATTGAACTGCTCCTGTTATTGTGTAAACCACAAAGCCTGGGGTAAAAAAAAAAAAAAGCTAAGAGGAGAATCGGAGCAGCCTGAGTCAATAAAAATTAACGAGTGCAAATTTTGTGCGGTTCCTTTTAAGATGTGTTGATGTCCTCGCCCTTCTGCTGCAGGCAAGCGAGACTCAAACAGTCTCATCAACTGAGTTAACCTCCACTAACAATTAGTGCGCAGCACTTAAGCATGGGAGGGTAATAAAAGCAGGCCTGGCCTTAGGCAAACAATATATGAGAACTGGGAGAGGAGGTTTACAAGACGGTAATGACAGCAATGAGCAATAGTCAAATGTGGCTCTAGGGCCTATTATTTTCTCATACTGATTTCGAAAAGCAGCTCCCTTATTGAACAAGAGCCAAGACAATCATCAAAGACATTCAGGAATGTGCTATTACTGCAATGTTTAGCATAATGCCCCAACCTCCCTCTGTTAGCAATATTTCTGCAAACTAACATAAGAATCAGACTGTGAAATGTCAGTCATGAGGTCGTTAAGTGCAAGGTGATTGATCCACTGGAATTAAGAATCGCATTAACATCCATTAGTGACACAATTTTCTGTGAAAGGTCACACTGTACAAAATGGCTTACCTTGAAAAAGCCGATGATTCCGACGCCATACTCCACACAGTATTTGTCCAGCAACTCTCTGTTCCAGGCATCCAGGTTGACATATTTGAGGATGTTCTCATAGATGACCAGTGTGAATCGACCCCGGTTCTTGTCCGTGAGTGTGGGCATATCGCCCTTCCCTGGGGCGATCTCAGTCTGGTACCGAAACCTCCCAGATTCCAAGATGGCCACAATGTCCTGGCCCAACTGAGAATACAAGCTCTCCACGAACACCAGTACAACAGGGTCAGTTCGAGACATGTCTGCCGGTTTGGCGGTTCTGGCAGGCAGCACCCTTGCAGACGGAGGGGAAGGAGTCGCTCGGGGATCTTCCCAATCGGCAGTACCTTCTTCTGGGACCACCATACCTCCGACCCCAGCTGGTTCGAGCTCCCGTTTGACGCCATACAGGAAATAGGCTGAGATGAGGACACTGACCATGCAAAAAAGGAAGAGGAGCAGCAGGCTGGTCTGCAGCGTGAGCTGACGGAAGAGCCGCCTTACACGTCCACACATCAGCATCATCACCTTGCGACCGCACCAATTAGGATAGACACAGTCCTCTATTTACAAATCTATTGTATGGTTTTTCCAATGAGTCAAAAAAGATGAGTCAAAATGGGGCTTCTCCTTTATGCATTTGCTCATGTCACCATTGCAGAGGGTGGCGAGACTGGGTTGGGCAGGGGACTGCATGGGCGAGGTGGGCTTCCACTCTCCAGCAAGGGATGTGCACTGCCCCCACATGCACCAGCGGCCCCCTGCCCTACACCTTTACGCCCCTTCTCTACCCTCTCTGAGTCCTTATCTCCTGATCCAGTGTAGAGAAGATCTGTGTTTCAGACTTGGTGAAGGTGGCTTCTTGTTTTTCGTCACTGGATGCTCTAGACAGATCATGCCCAGAGCATTCTGTTGTCCTCGAGTTCACCTAAAGAGAAAACAGAGTTCATTAGACAAAAGTACACCTTAACTCGACCATTTTAGTAATCAATTATTTTACTTGTGGACAAAACAATCCTTTAATTTAACTCTAAGGTGCAACTGTGTATTCAAGCCCAGATAGCACAAGGCTGTTTGATGTGCAATTTACATCTGGAAGACGTATTTTAAAGAGTGTTTGCTCATCTGCAATACGTCTATAGGACGTTTCCTGCAGATGTCAAATAGACGTTTAGAAGATGTCTCTTAGATGTAATGATTTTGAATGCATGTTAAACTGACATCTTATAAACGTCTATTTGACATCTGACAGGAAACGTCCTATAGACGTCTTGCAGATGAGCAAACACTCTTAAAAATACGTCTTCCAGATGTAAATAGGACATCAAATACCCTTGTACTATCTGGATCAAGGGCAATGAATTCTGACCAGACCACACGAGCAACTTGTCTTACCCCCTCTGAATGTTGGCTGCAAATGTCAAACCCACATGATGCCGTGGGAGCCCTACTACAACCTAGGTTTCTTTTCACTGAATACCAAGAACGTCTAGAGAGGCATTTACAAAGGCAATGCAAAGATTATGGGATAATGGAGGCGGCTTGTATTGATTAGTGAGGGCTTTAAAAAGTGATCCTCACTATCCTTCATGCACTTCAAAAGGGCAAAAGTCATTTACTCTTTTCATCTTAAATGAAGGGTTTAGTGCAAAGTGTGGCACAGGTGAATGAGTTGAATATGATTCAGATTAGCACTAACCAAGTAAAGACCTCAGCAGAATGAGGAGAGAACGAATGGTGATTGCTGGAAGTAGCATCAAAGGCAAAAGGTGAGGGAAGCCATTCAATTGTTGGCAAGTGTGAAAGGATCTGGCAAGAGGGTTCATGCAAGTGTAACTTCAGGTGTTACCTAAACCTTTCAAATATTCCTTATGCAACTTTCAAATACACTTTGAACTAGGCTACATAAAATCTTGTTTCCGACAAAAGGATGGTAGAAAGTATGAAAAACTCAGCAAACATAGCAGTCAGCAGGTGATTTAAAGCCATTCACATTAGGTAGACACCTAAACAAATAAAACAACTGACTTTTTACAGACAGTGTTTTTAGGTTTTTGTTCACTTTCAATAAAATCTTTTCAAAAGATGCAGAGTTTATAGACATGCCATTATCATTCGCCCACATGTCATTTAACTAAAGGGAGAAACATACAATGGCACACAGGGCGTCTGAGGGAAGACTGAAGTGAATCAACAAGACACAACGTGTATGAGAAGCAACACAGGTCAATTTTCAAAGGCATCACAGACCTACTTTATGTATGGGTTATCTGAAAAGGGAGAGTAGAACAAAGAATCAAAGCCTTGCAGGGGTTCTGGGATAAAAAAAATGCATGAATACCACAAAAAGGGAGCAAAAGGCACAAGAGCCTCTAATAAGAGGATGAAGGGGAAAAGAAAATCTTGCCAGAGAAATAAAAGAGCCTTAGAGAAGGTCATTTTATCTCTTCAAAAGGTTGCTGAGGGTACAGCATGTAAAAATCCTCACACATTCACAATCCTGAAACACAGCTGTTGATTCTCCTGTCTGCTTGCGATCCAAACTTCTCATCAGGAATTTTAGGGGCTGGTGACCAAACTGAGCTGAATAGTGGGGAGGCATTGGGTTTTAAAAACCAAAAAGACAAATCTAGGCTGCATTCCACAAGGGACACTCAAGAATAATGATTTTGCACCCAGTAGCTTTACATCTCCTTCCCTTTACACCAGGATTACTCTCAGGCCACAATACCTGTCACTGGGCTCTCATTGTGTCCAGCAGAGAAACGTGAACAGCCATCAGCGTGTCGTCAGAGGTCGGATTACAGTCTTTAAAGCTTCCCTATTCAGAGTCTGGTTCTTTAATATGCAAAAGTTCTGACAAGAGTCGGCTGAAGCAGCTCACTCTGTAATGCATGCTCTAAACAGTATGACTCGGATGACATGAAGCTCGATATCCCACACCCAGAACAAAAGTCTAAGGACACGAAATGGCTTTGTGACATACAATATTGTTTCACTTGAGTGAAGGTAATAAAATAAACACGGTGTACGAGTGAAGATAAAATACAGTACAAGTACAATATTTCATCAATGAAAATATGAATTGTAGAATGGTACACTCTTAGAAGAAAAGGTTCTATATAGAACCTTCAAAGGTTCTATCAGCAATACGTATTTGGAACCCCTAAAAGGTCTATACAGAACTATCTATACAGATCTAAATCTATACAGAACCCTTTTTAAGTAAATTTTCAATTAAATTTTTAAATTTCAAGTATAGTTTCAAATCTGTATGAATACGGAGGTCCAACCATTGTAGGAGTATGGACAAAATGCAAACACTTTTTCTAAATAGGCTCTCAAAAATATTTCATATTCCATAGTAGAATGTCATACAGGCTTAACAGTTTTATTTACTTATTTGCATTAACATTTCTTTTAATTAGGCTAGACTAATGGTCATATTGTTGATGAAGAGAAGATAAACATTAGAGGTATACATATGTCAAAAAGGTCTAAAAACAGAGATAACTGCCGTTAACATATTGTACAAATCAACAAAAAGCTGATAGGTTGAAGCAAGAACAAGGGATGAAAGAAAAGTGTTGAAACAAAGTGTCAAGACGTGGAAAAATAAGGACCTTGACATTTAGAAACCTGTCACAATCTCACCCACGCCAGCAAGTTTCTTTGTCCCAGATCTTCCCTTTTCACAGTCTCAAAGCCCAACAGACGTGTGGAAAAAAATGCACCCTGCCTGGGAGTCACAAAAGCCATTTTCTGATGGCAGGATAGCTTCCATAACACTCCCTATCTCAAGGGCACAGCATACCTCCATTCCCAACAGCTCACACCGTTTTGTCAGCTCTGGCTCTTTCAAATACCTTCGAGTGTTGGTAGAATCATGAGCCTAGACATTGCTTGACAACTATTATATTTCAAAACACAGATACTAAATTTAAAATAAAGTTAGATTCGACATTATAATGCTACTGAATGCTGCCAGGGCATTCAAAAGTTTAAAGGGGTCATTTAATGGTATATGCACTTTTACAAGTTGATTGTACTGAAATGTAGGGTTGCACGATTAATCGAATTTGAGGGTGTATTCACACCTGCCTTGTTTGGTTCGATTGAATCGAACTCTAGTTCGTTTGCCCCCTTGGTGCGGACCTTTTGGGCAGGTGTGAATACAGCAATCGAACTCGGGTACGGACCAAACAACCGAACCGAGACCCAGCTGAAGAGGTGGTCTCGGTACGGTTTGTTTACGGTGTGAACATGAACCGACCCAATTGCAAGAAAGCACTGCGTCGAAAGAGAATATTGCGCGTCTTTCTGCACGTCTTTCTGCGCGTCGTGTGTGAATGTCTAATCGCGCAAAGATGCAAAAAAAATATCATTTGCAGTTCATAAAGCATTTGCAGTTCACCACCTTTTGGTGGTGGTTGACGAGTTTCCCCCTTAAAGCGAGTGCCGAGAAAAATTCTATATAAATGTAATGTATTATTATTAATGTAAGGATAGTTACAATACAAGGATGATGATGCGTTAATTTACGTTAAACTGGACAAATTTAATCGCAAGCGTTAACATTGACAGCACTTGTTAGTACACAATAAGAATCTCATTATTTGAATGAGTGAACATAGCCCCTCTCTATGAATGAAAACTTTATACCTTCTCCGTCTTCTGTGCAGTGCCACTTGTAACGCAAAGTTGAGATGTTGCCCAGAGATAAAAAAAAACAGAAGGTGGTCGAATGAAAACATGCACGAGAGACGAGAGTTGTCGTATTTACCCGCGTTTATAGAGCCACTCAAACGTTACACTCGTCGTCTTCTCAAAATCCGAATTACAACTTCGTATAGATGACATTGTATCATATGATACTCATTAGTTTCTTCATATTGCGTTTGTACAGAATTAACACAAAATTAGTAAAAGAACAAATATTGCAGTATGAAATATATGGAAATATCTCCATGCTGAGCCTTTTTTGCACTTCCTGATTTCCCTTGAGAATCCTTGTCCAATGAATGGACGACCTTAGCACACGTGTGGTTTGGTTTACAAATTTTGGTTCACTTGCAAAAAGAGCAGTGTGAAAGCGAACCGTACCAAAAAAAAAAATAATAATAATTTATTTGGTCCGGACCAAAGCAAGTGAACTATCGGACTTTCCTCGTGTGAATACACCCTTAATCCAGATCACGATTTTGGCTTCCCACGATCAAATTTGCATGATCGAGCGATATTTAAATATCGGTCGATCATGCAAATTTGATTCTGTTCGCAGAACACTTCGTTTAAAAAGTTTTTGGGATTGTTTTTGGATTTAAAGGCATATGCACTGAAATGGCGTGCTGAAAACAGAGCTGTTTTTGACCAGGTAAAATTTGTGTTTTCTTAAAATACTAATGAGAATTAAAAAAAAAAAATTATTACAAAGTTTTAATTTAGACCCTAAACATTCATATTAACTTGTACAAAAATGGCCCCTTTAAGATTTATGTCCTCCCAGTTAAGGAGCGCAATAAAACCAAGAGACTGGAAAACAAAATCACAACAGCGACATCTACACGATATCTGTAAACAGCACCAAACAAACAAACAAAGGAAAAAAAGCAATGTGTCTGGAGTGGAAAAGCAAAGGATTTCAATATGCACGGGTGTTTTTGAGGGATCTACTGACAGGTAAAAAGATATGGAGCCATCAAATGTTTATCTGCACTGTCTCCACTTTCTTGTTTTATTTCAAGGCAAAGTGATGGTATAGATTTGCTGCTGCGTTATAAAGGATGGCATGCTTGAAGAGCTCTGAACACCGAAGCCACATTCACTGCCGCTCAGAGACACAGGACACTTCCTGGAGCAAGATTTGTGCATCTGCGTGCCAGGACAGCGGGACAATAGCTGGCCGCTCGCCCTGGACGAATTGCCTCG